TTTCAAGAACATAAAATGTATCACAGAGAATACAGCAAGAAGCAATAGGCATAAGTGGTGTGAGACGTTTTATTTAGATGTTGAAAGAGCTTTCTGACAAGGGATTGTGAAGAACTGCAACAGGCTGGGACATTCTGGAGTTTCTTACAGGACTACTGTAATAGTTTGGAGAAGCACCTATAATATTGTTTAGGTACTTGTGATCCTGTCTGGGGCAGGGAAGTGGAATAAAAGTTCGGGCCTTCTCCTACCCCATTTTCTAGTTAAAAAGATGTTATAGAGGATGGTTATGTCCTAAGTATCCTTTCTTTCATAATATTGGTGTTTAGTATGGATCAAAGACCTGGCCAAAGCTCAGGGAGGCAAATTCAGGGAGGCTTTTTAAGTCAGCTTTAGGTTTGTGAGCTTCTTGGTCAGCTAAGTAGAATTTCATTTTGCTTATGAGAGTATGAGGCTCAGTAAATGTTTACTGTAACAGGGCTTCCCAACAATGCAAGCCCATTTTACAAGTTGGGCCCTAAGGTCACAAGATAAATTAATGCAAATTAGTGGTTATATATCCTACTGTATGCTCTTGGTTGCTCTTTGCTTAAAAAGGAATCTTCTTACCTGTATGCATTTATGTAATATCTTCCAGTAATATTAAGACACCCATAGTTACACTTTTCTCTGTAAGAAAAGTTGTTTTCCAACAGATGTCATATAATCTGAAGCAGGATTTTGTAGGGGGGGTCTTTGCACTCTGGTTTACATATCCATCAGATTGGATGTTTCTAGCTGGGCTGGTCACAGTAAGCTGTTTTTATCCTCAGTGGGGAGAAACAGATGCTTTCGGGGTCTTCTAACCTTTGTATTCCTCAATATCCACATTAAAATGAGACAAATGTGTGCAAAATGTGTGCATAGTGCCTGTTTCTCTCCATAGGCTATGGTGTGTGCTCAGACTTGGCCTGTCAAACAAACTCCTACAGGAATGGAGGGTGAATACTGTGGTTAGAGGCAGCTCAATATACCAAAGAAAATAGTTACCTATTAGAAATTTAAACGCGGGCTCTGCTTCTGATCCCAGGATCTTGATTTTGTGGAAAACAGGGAAAGTTACTCCATAGTTTCCTTTGGCAAAAGCCTCTATTTCCTGGCTTGAGCCGGGCTCTGATTCTCCGAACTGGTTGCAGGGAAAGGCCAGCACAGTGAAGTGGGAGGGACCAAACTCCCTGTGTAGCTCTTGCAGGGCGATGTAGTTTTTGTCTGTGTTCTGGCAGTAACTCGCCACGTTTACAACCAAAGTTGCCTTGAAGAAATAAAGTCAGAACATTGAGGAAGAACCCTGAGATGGCACAGAGATTTCAATTAAATCTTAACGTGACATATCACACTACCACACTATTCCTACCTGAGAGCTAGACTCTGGTCATAATTTCATTAAACTGATAAGAGTGATAGCTGCTGGAGGTATTTACTTTGAGACATCCTTCTTTAAACATCCTGTAAATGGATAAACTTAAACTGACAGCTTTGTTTAAATATAAGCATGTAAAAACAAAACAACAACAGATACTTAGAGCAGGCATTAAAATGATATTTCTCAGATCAGTGTCTAAAATTCAATGCAACATGTCATCATTCTTAACTAAGATTAACATGCACAAATTCAATTCTTATATCGTACTGATTTATAGTAATTCTTTCTTCATTTATTAGCTCTAATAGTTAATTCTGGAAGCAGGACTAAAAAAAATAATATTATCTGTAGCTTACTGTTTACATAACAGGAAGTTAGGACAAATCTCTGCTGTAAATTCCCACAATCAACCTTTTTGTTTTCTTACCAATGGATGTCAGTTTTTCAGTAAAGATTCAAGAAAAAGATAAAATGAAGTTGTAACTTACTTTCCCTCTGTACTTCTCCAATGAAACGATCCTTCCTCGTGAATCCTTGACTTCGAAAGAATAAAAATCTTTGGATTTAGGTTTAAAAAATCTGAGTTGCAGTATGCAGAGAACTGCAGTACACAAAACCATCGACAGAAAAACGACAAAGACCCTGGCTTTGGGCACTGAATATTTCAGAGGGTAAGTAGTTGTGAGAGGCTCCATTTTCGAAACACTTGGGAGAGAAGCCAGGGCAGGCCCAGAATGCGAAGGAGGAGCTGAAACTCGAAACTTGCAACTCAGACTAAAAAGGACACGCTGCTCGTTTTGTCCCTGTTGCTGAAGCAGATGTTTCACTTCACAGTGCCTCTGCTGGGCTCCAGGGCGCTCGGTAGAGTAGGGAAATGCCTCCTGCTAGGAAAAAAGAACTGAATGAACAGTGTGCTGCTTCACCTAGCGATGCAGATTGCTCTGTTTGGCTGAGCTGTGTGGAGTAACTGCAGTGTTCGCCTGTACACTGTCCTGAGAACTGCCTAGGGCCTCATTGATGCGTCTGTAATGCAGCTCTAGCACATCTCCTCGGCCCATCAGGTGCCCCCGACCTTAACAAGGAGAGCAGTATTGAAGAAGCCTGTTTGCATGAGATGCTGTGTGACACAGGCAGCTTTGCAAAACAGTTTTGCATCACATGAGCAGAGAGAAAACCTTCTTTATAGGTTAGCAAAAGGGAAGAAAATCACAAATACATACATACATATATACACACACACACACACACACACATATATATATTTAATTGGGGGGACACAAAACATGATGGAAAATAGGTTGCTTTGTATTGCTACTGCCTACCTGGCTGCTAGCTATGGGGAGATAAGAAGATGCAAGGTATGCACAAGGGCAAAATGAGTTAGCTGAGTCTCAGACCTTGGCCATGCAGCTCCAATGATGTTTTGCTGAGGCAATTGTGAAAGAAACTCTCAACTTCAAAGCCATGCACCTCTAGTGACTTCTCTGTCTGCCTTTAATTGTTTTCTGTTTTAAAGGTGTTTGCTTCTTGCTCTCAGTCTCTGAAGGTACATTGACATGCAGTGGTGACAAATCATGGAAAAAACCATAATTTTCTCTTTCTTTCTTCATGTCTTGTTTAGATTTTCTTTCTTTCTTTCTGTCCATTTGCTATTGCCTTTCTGTCAGCTTTCATTTTCATTTTTTTTTTTCTCTTCATATTTCTGTACTTGGGCTTTTCTAAGCTATCTCCATCTTTGCTGCCTGTTGCTTGTCTAACATCCTTGTTGCTTGTCTAACTTTCTTTTGCTCCCAGTCTGAACTAGCCTTTAGCCTCTTGTTTTTCTTTTCACTCCTTTTTTATTTTTTTTTCCCTTCAATCAGAGGGTACCTTTTTAGGGATGAGAATAGAACAGGACTTTGCAAAGGTGAAACCTGGAATTTGGGTGTCTGTTGTTTTTTGTGGGCTTAGATATTACCTCAACTACCTTTGATTTGTACAATACCATAATGGTACATTCAGCAGTTTCTACGACGTTCTCTAGCTAAGGTCCGTGTTCATTTATTTTAACAAGACTTTATAAAGTGTTTCATACAGTTCTATACAGAGAGATGCTTGTGATATACTATGAAATTTCAGTATTTATATGGATGTGTCTTCTGACCTAGGGGTTATGTGAGGCTTGATGTCTGCCAGGCAGTGAACCCTCAGAGTTAAAGTAGAGGGGACAGAAAAGGTACAGACTTGTCTGATGAAAGGAAAAAAGCTGTAGTCAGAAAGCAAGCACAGATTGCTAATGCTGACTTCAAAAGCAAGTCTGAGTGTGTTTGATTTCAGAAAATCCATGCAGGATGCTAGAGTTCAAGTTACATCTTGATAGCTTGTAATTTGCACAGAACATTATGTCAGAAATAGGGAAAAAATAACAAAACTTAATGCTTAATATACTATAAATATTCACAGAAGTGTCCAACAATGATTCTGAAGCCTATTACACTTGCAGTGCTTCCTTACTATTGTTGATACTTTCACATGATGCCCTAAAACATAGCCTTGAAACTGAAAAGCAGTCTTGTATTCAGTATTACTCAGTTTCTCTGACTCTCTTGTTTAAGAATTGTCTTTTACGTATGGATTTAAAAGTAAGAAATGTAAATCTGTCATTTGATCTTAATTTAGTATGGCTAAATAAATTAAGTGTAACATTAAATATAACACCATGAGCGTGTCATGCTGGCGATGAGAAGATTCAGAAATCAGAAATGTGCTAAGTCCTTCTTTGGGAAAAGATCAGAAAACCAACCTGGCTCCAGACAGCTAAGATAGGTTTGCTGAATGCTCTTATCTTTGAGAGACCAGCCCAAAGATGCTAAACTAAACCTCTGAAAATGTTTTGGGTCTTTCTAAGGTCAGTGCTATATCCTAGTGCATGAGTGATACAAATTTGGTTTTCTTCTGTGCTGCAGACTTCCTATGTGACTGTGACAAGAATCACATCTTTTAGGATGCAATTTTAAGAATTGCAAATTTTGCCTGAACTTTTGCCAGCCCTTATTTAGTTTTCTATCTATTGTCTCAACCTGATATTGTCTCTACCTGTCAAATGATTCAGGGTTACTTACCTAAATAGGACTTTTCCCTTTCCCCCTTTCCCTCTTTCCCCCTCTTCCCTCTTTCCCCTTTTCCCCTTTTCCCCTTTCCCCTTTCCCTTTTCATTCTTTTTTTTTTTTCTTTCTTTCTCCATTTTCTTTTTCTCCTCACACTTTATGTACTTATACTTAGATCCTTCCAGTTCTTAACTTCCTTACTTCAGTTTCTTTGAGTATTTCTCTGTGGAAAGGTAAATATTGTGCTGATCAGCTACCTGACAGTCGTGACTGCTCCTAGCTCTGAACAGCTCCTGAGTTACTCTGCTGCAGCTGGGAGTTGCTGCTTCCCCTGTGTGATGTAGGAAAAATCCCATCACTTGCTGTGTACCGTGTAGCCACCCCGATGCCCATCGCCATGTCCTGCTGCTCAGAGCTGAGCCGAGCCCACACAGATTTGCAACAGCATGAGGGGACAGAACAGTGTTTAGCGATGACTGACCCTGGTGTTTTGGCTCCCTCCACTTGTGCAGGTCGCCGCCTCAGAGAGGACGACGTACGCGAGGTTTAAGAGCTCCATGAAGAAGCAGCTGGTGGCCAGGGGCCCGGTGGCGAGCAGCCCCATTGTCACAAGATGGCAGCAGCTGCACGCAGGAGGCCGCGCTGAGGAGCCCAGCAGGGCCTGCAGGGCCCACCACAGTACCCCTGGGGGGGCCCAGCCTGCAGACACACCTGGGGAGACTCCAGGTCAGGCAAAGAGTTATTTTCACATACAGGATGGCATCATGTGGGTAATTCTGTGGGATGACGTTTCCCCGTGTCCAATGGACAAGGGCTGTGGCGTGCAGCAGCTGCAGTCTGTGTAGCGCTCCCCAGGCAGGGCGAGCTCAGGGCCAGCTTCCTTTCAGCAGAATTACACTGCTGACAGCGAACGAGAGGAAAGCCAGGCCTGCTGTTAGCAGTGTGCAGGCAGACTAGGACGGTAGGTCACACAGACAGTAAACATCAGGGGTGAGGGCAAAAGAAAAGACAAAACTTCATCCCCAGCCAAGTAATTTCTGTTACAGATAAACCTTTTTGCCTTTACACTGGGGTGTGTGTGGGGCTGGATTTAAGTTGCACTGGGCTGTAGCAGCGCTCAGTTTGTTGCTGCACATTTGCACCTCAAAAAGCTATCCATAGCTGGCAGGACAGTAGGAGAATTCATGCATACTTATTTCCTTTCACAGAATCATCTAGGTTGGAAGAGATCTCCAAGATCACTGAGTCCAACCTCTGACCTAACACTAACAGTCCCCACTAAACCATATCCCTAAGCTCTACATCTAAACGTCTTTTAAAGACTTCCAGGGATGGTGACTCCACCACTTCCCTGGGCAGCCCATTCCAATGCCTAACAACCCTTTCAGTAAAGAAGTTCTTCCTAATATCCAACCTAAACCTCCCCTGGCGCAACTTTAGCCCATTCCCCCTCGTCCTGTCACCAGGCATGTGGGCGAATAGACCAACTCCCACCTTGCTACAGCCTCCTTTAAGGTACCTGTAGAGCGTGATAAGGTCTCCCTTTGCCTTGCACGTGGCTACCCGAGACCTGTCTACAACTGCAGAACTTCGACCAGTCTGCATGCCTGGATGTGGTGCTGTGTATACTCTGTGATGACCCACTGAAGGAGACGTGTGCCTTGAGTTAGTTTCCCCTCCGATATCTAAGGCTATAGGTATTGACGAAAGTCCTGCCTGCCAGTAGACACTTATTCTCAACACACCGTAGGGTAAGGCATGTTTATCATTCAGAGCGCAGTCGTACGTGTACTTTCAGGACTTAGGTCTAGAGAACTGACTCTGGAAGAGGCTGTTTCCCTCCATCAACAACAGAGGGAGCTGAAGAAAGACTAAATAAGCCTTTGAACTCACTCCCACATCCAGCAGTGGTAAAGTGCAGAAGGGTCTTGCATGTACTAGAAGAATTTCTTGGAAGAGCAAGGGAACTAAACAAGGCACATTTCATGATTAATCATGGAAATCTTTAGAAAACAAATAAAAGGTGCTTGTTGCTGTACAAGATGTATTCCTATGAGGCCACAGTTGTTGGAGACAAAGTGCCATTCTATCTTACGCTGAGCAGAATACTCTTCAACAGTGTGGTCATAATGCATGCCCAGCTCTGGGAAATTCACGTTCAAAAGCTGGATTCATGTTCTAAACTGAATTTTTCCCTGCTTTGGTTTCTAGAACAGAAAGTACTGCATACTCGCATCACCAGCAGTGGTGAAAGCCTTTATGGTTGTGGGAAATCAGACTTTGATTTTGTGTGGAGTAGGTTCTGGTGTAGCCAGTCAATAGATATGTGTTATAGAAGTAAATATATACAGCTTATAAAGGGAACGACCAATCCGATCTTTTTTAGATGTCTTTTTTAGGACAAGATGAACAGTGCTGTACAGGCATCTGTTTCTTTTCCTTGACACTGAAGGAAAGGGAGAGCAGACTGACTAGATCAAATGCCAGCATTTGTATCGTCCCACTTAGTGTGCCAGTCAGCTTTGAGAATATTGCTGCTGGAAAATAAATGCTTTTCTGAAAAAGTTCTAGACAATACCCCTATGTATGGTTTTGAGTAAAATTTTTCCATTAAAATTATTTTTTTCTCAGTGACACCTCAGATACCTAAGAAACTCTCCATGAGGGAAACAACTGTGACTCTACCCTGCAGTCACACTGCAGAAGGCTTAGAATGGAGAAATAACAGGAGAACTAAAATAGGAAAGAAACAGGTATGCAACACAACATTAAAATGCACAGGTAGGATATTTGCTTTCCCGATGTGTTCTTTAACCCTATCTTTGGTCTGGAACCTGTTGTGCAGATGCTGCCTTATTAACACGGAGAACATTAACAAGAGGAGATCCATTTAGGAAATGTTTGCTAAAAAGATGACAGGAACAATAGCTTCATCATTTGTTTAATTCAGTTTCTGTCCCCTTCTGTCAGCCTGTCGTCCTGCAAACTAAAATTGAAACCAAGTTAATGAAGCCCTCAAGATGCACTTGTGACCTCAGAGGGAAAACCTGTATTATAAAAAATGCGCATAAAGACCACGAATGACTCAGTTTTTCACATGCTTAATAACCACTATGCATGAAGAAGATAATTTCTTCAATTGTGCAGGATGTTGCGGTTCTTTTGGTCACGTAGACAGAATGAGATGCTGTAAAAAATTGCCAAAAAATAGCTTTCTGTGAATAATGTTTTTTATCACGACAATAGAAACTCAAAGGCTAGTTAGTAATGTTTAATGATTCTTGGCCAAAGATGAATGAACACAAGAAATCTCTACCATGTGATATGAAGACTTCAGTTCTCCTCCCATTTTGGTGCTGCTTTTTATTGCTGTCCACTATATCCATTCATTTTTGCTAGTGTACCCTGACAAACCTTTCACACCTTTTTTTTCTCTGTGGGCTTTATCTGCTGCTGTTTGGTCACCTTTAATAAACCTCTGCACCAGACACCCACCCATTTCCCCTAACTAACTTCTTGAAAATTGTTTTCTCATGTGAATCACAGTGATACTTATCTGTGTTAGGAAAAGTTATTACCGTAACATTACCCTCAAAGCTACCTCCTGATTTTAGTCCTATCTGATTGCAACTATTTGTATATTAAGTTGTAAACTTATGGTCAGTCACAATGCTTTTTTCTCACTGGTCCTCTCCTTGATTGCACCCGTTGGAAGATCAGTACTGAAGACCATGACAGCTGTTTTCAAGTGATTACATTTTGACTATAACTGTTGAGTAAGGATGCTTCATAGCTGCATACTCAATGTCCTTGCTTGTACTGGTTTATACTTTTTATTAATATTATTGAGAAGTTTTCATGAGGGTATGAAGATCAACTTCTGAGAAGAAGAATTAGTATCAGAATAGCTGGGCTAACAGGCTTATTGGTTGTTATCTTTTAAAACTTGTACTCTTGAAGGTTATTGAATGTTGCAAAAGGACTGATGCTTTCTACATCATTCTGGGAAACCTGTTTTTCAGGGCAATCACTTCCCTTCACAAAGTAGTATTTCTTCACAAAGAAATTTAATGAAGTCTTTTTGTAAGAAGGTAAAAACTTTCTATGAAGTAATATTTGTAAAACATACTTCCTTTCTTAAATTTCAATGCATTTTTAAAGATGTACGTGCATGCTGTTGTTTTCACTCTTCTGTGTCAGTCTTTCATCTCTACAGTACCTAGAATTATACTATGACTGACATCAGAAGTTGAGTTAGAACTAAGATATTCAGAGTTTTACATCAAGGACCACAATAACTTCCTGTAAGTGTGATGTGGGGGTCTTTGAGATAACATTGTGGGATAAAATCTTTTCACATTCCAGTGAATGTGTGTGGTCTCCTTGTGGGCCAAAAGATTACTTTCCTGTACACACAATAGGTTTTCCATAGAAATGTCTGTACTTATTTTAGAGGGACACAGATCCAAGCAATCTGATTAGCTTTCTGCCAAGTTGTCTATATAAATCATGCAAAAAGTGCTTCTCAGAGCTGAAGGCTTGCTGTAGAACAGATGGGATGTATAAAAATCTAACCTTTTTTTCCAGTTATATTTATTTAAGACATTTCTTATCGTGATTACAACAGGGTTTTTAAGAAGAGTAACACTGGATGTGTTTGGAAAGATAGATTTCACAGACACTGGAGAAAGAGCATACTGAGTGGCTGGTAAAAACATCAGCTGCACTTCCACCTGACTGTAAATAATGAATTACAAAACAGACAACTAACATCAGAGTGTTCAATTAAGTGAAACAACATTGCATTGGGAAGAAATGCATATTATTAGAGATTGGTGTAGGGATTCATATCCTATGGGACTGATCTGAGCCTTTACCTGATTTTGCCTAAACCTAACTAGGGCCTAACCTATTTTTTTTTTTTTTAAGGGAAGAGTTCCAATAACATGTCACATCTCCCTTTTCTTATCTTTGTCTGCTGCATTATCTGTTTCTCTGACACACAATGAAATTTTATAAAAATTATTATTCCCCTGCTTATATTTTTACATATACAATTGTTATTTATATAAATAACACCCTGTTTATATTTTTAGCACCTGTGGATTCAAATTTTAATACTTGTTTAAGAAATGGGATCGTGGTGTCCAGACCCCGGGACCCTGGTCTGAGTAGGTTTCATGTTGGTATCAAGGACCTTGCAATGTATGCATTACAAAACTGATCAGCAAGCCTGAGGCATCAGACATATTGCCTACATGTAGAAAATCTATCATTGTATGCTGCTAAAATTAGGCCAATACAAATTAAAAGAGGGCAAGAAGGCACTAAGTTTCAGTAGGTGGTATGTACACATACAGAGCCTGAGAACTTTTCCACTGGTAAGATGGCCTTGTTCAAACAGCTTTGTTAGAATTTGTATGATTGTTAGCAGTGAATTGGTGTTTTATGGAAGGAAAGATGATAACTCTAGCCAGAGCATATGATTTGGACAGTGGTATTGTGTATTTTTAACTGATCTCCCATCCAAGAGTCAAGTCATTCTAAAACATTCATGTAAAAAATATTGTGTCTTTTTGATTTTTATGCTATCCTTTATATTTAAATAATACATTTTGTTACATTTCTTCATTCAATCATCTTTTCACTTCAATGTATTGGCAGAAATGTTCTACTCAGCTTCCAGTGGTCCAAGAGGTTGGATGTAGCATGGTCAAAAGTGTAGACATGAAGGTTTGTGAAAATAGCAGTTGCATCTGGAAAGGTATGTTCCTGTGTTCCACTATAGCAAATACCCCCATGCACACCGAACAGGAAGATAGAGTAGGCTGCATCTACCATGAAAAAAAACATCTGTTCCAAAAAGTGTTGCAAAATAATACAAAGTGGCTGAGATGTACGCAGCTTCAGGCTACTTCTCCTTCAGTTGCCACTGCCTTTGAAGCAATAGCACCCACCTCTTCCATTGTGGTTAACACCTAGTATTTTACCTGGCTCTCCTTTGGGCACGATCAGACACATGAATTCCTTTTGACTTTCAGATAGGGAATGTGGTAAGTATTGGATGGACTTCTAGGTACATGAGAGTGTAAAACATACAGAGATAGTGGAATCTTGTTGCACCTACCTGTAGGGAAAGGTAGCTGGAACAGATTGTCCCTAGCATTGCTTCTGGTTTCATCTGACTGGGAGTTGATTAGTTTAGTTCACTCCAAAAATATCCTAGGACTGAATGAGCATACAGAGAGTGTGAATGATCAGGGGACTGGAAGCCAGGTGAGATGTGAGAATCTAATCTGTCAAATAATACAGATATTCCCAGAGTTTTTTTGGGTATGCAACACTTTGTAAGATACCAAACCAAAATTTTACTGTGTTCTGTCTTAGGTAATTTGTTTTGGTGATCTGGCTATTTCTGTGCTGGACTCCTTCCATTCAGAGATTGATTCATGCTCATGTAAAAATAGTGAGAAACAACCTCTATATGACTGGAGTTCAGCTCATGTGGAAGAAGTTCGGGGGCATGTGAGAGACTGGTGTATATTCATTTGTTACTCTTTTCCATGCACATAAAACTTGCTTCAAAGCAGTCAATAGCAACAGTATAGGGGATAGTCACAGTATTTTTTTCTTAATGGCAAATGAATATAGGTATCAAGAAAACTGGGTTTTATTCCACATATCTACTTGTTGATCAAGTGGTCTTACATGCCAGTGATGACTACTTACCTCTTCCTGAGTCTCGTTTTGAGAAGTGACATAGGCATTTGAGACCTGAAATCCTATCAAAAAACAGTGATGATCTTCTAGCACTCAGGCAAAATAACACAAAATGGTGTAATAAAGCTTATTTTCCACTAATAAGAAAGTCTGTTATGCACATTCATGTGTCCATATATGGACATGTGAATAGAGCTGAAATCGTATCAATACGAGTTTGGGGTAGATAAATTGCATGTGAGAGAAGAGAAAGCTGAAATGAGTTACACAGATGATTTCATCCTTTTTATCTCAATCCTTAATCCCAGCTACCAATATTAAAGAAGAAAATCATTTTCAAATTGTGTCAAAAGTTGTCATTCTCCAACTGTTATAATTAAGTGCTGTAGCTTCCCTGAACTGTCCTATTTGTCTGGGTTCAGAAACAGTAAATTTTCAAAAAATAACCCAGAATCTAGATATTAGAAATATATATTGCTGCCCAGACAAATCTTATTTCAGTGCTATCAGACCATTTTTAGTGTTAGGAAGAAGTGTTACATATTGCATAGGGCAAGCAAGGTCTCACACTCAGTTGTTCCTGCAATCCTGCTTAATTTTTTAATTCCACAGACTTAGATCTGGAAAAAAATCACTGTGGCCTACTTCTTGCTAATCTACAGTCTTCATTTAGGGGGGAGGTGCTACAGTCGAGAGGAGAAACAGTTGTTTGGCAGAAATTCATTTTGGATTAGGGAAGAAGACTAAGGACAAAGTAGGAAAGGAGTGTGTGAAATGTTCTCCACAATTTGTCATTGATAAGACTTCCGTGTGGGATGATAATGCATGTATTTGTGTTACAGAGTGCAAAAACTTGTGAGTGTTGACTTTTTTTTGAACAGAAAAGGTTAGTTGTCAAGGTAGATAATCTATTCTGCCCTTGAAGCTTTTGGCATTCTTTCTAAGTATTCCTCTCTGGAGAATAGTTCAAAAATGAAGTCAAAACAGAGGAAAGTGCAGAAATATGAGTCTCCAGCTCTTTTCTCTGCATATTACAGAAAGACAATTTCTTACTCATAAAAATATAGCATTAAATGATTCATGGTGCTAATGATCTTTTCCTACAATGCTTAGCAGTTGCAGCGTACAATAGACTATGACCACAAGGGCTTACTCTTCTGTTTGCTCATACCTGTTTTTTACTGCTACTGCTTTTGTTTCTCACTTTTGCATTGTCACAAGCTTAGTGTGCTGTGATCAAAGTGGGTGTGCATTAAAACCTTTTCCTGTGGTTAGATGTTGGTGGGAGAGACCTTTTAACGTGATATTAACATCAGAAAGCAAAAAGGTTAATTGCTGTCTGAGAGGGTTTTAAGGTGGGAGAGTCCATATGAACTGGTAATAACAACTTCTGACAGAAAGCTAACCAAAGACAAAGTGAACCATGTTCTGCACTGAGCTGTGAGACAACTTAAATAAAATATAGTGGACCCTATTCTTCACTCTAGCAAATTACATCCATGGAGATTTGAAAGAGTTGTTAAAAGGTAGCTTTCACCTACTTTTGTGTGCAGTGTTTTGGCCTACACAGGATAAATCAAACCCTTCTGGAATGCTATGGACAATGGACAGTCTAATATAGTCAGTGTGAAAGGCTTAGGCATGAGAAAAACTGGTGGTATTTTGCATTATTGAACTGTGCATGGTGCATCTTCAAATACAGGATGCCAAGAAAGGACACAGAATGAGTTTAGAGCTGTTACCACTGTGAAGTCACCCATGCCATTGGAGCCAGAAATGAGGCTTCATATTGCTGGTTTGCGCGATGATTACTGTAAGTTACTTTCTTCTATTCAAAGGCTTCTGCAGAGGTTGGGGATACTGATACATGCATCTAGAAAGATGGCAAATATGTGTCCCCTTCAGATCAAATGGAAACTCTCCAAGACTTATGCATAATGTAATTTTTTTTTAATAACATTTCACCTTTGAAAACTGCCTGACTCAGGATGTAGAGATGACCGATCAAACCCAAGAATCAGTATCACCTACATCTCATGCAGCTTTCTTCAGCAGTAGGTATCAATACAACTTTAAAGTCAAACCAATATACTTATCCCTGCTTATTAATTAAGCAGAGGACATTTAAGATATCAGCTTTGGATGTCTAGCAGACTGTTAATACAGCAGCAGGTTTATTGAGAAGACTTTGAAATCTCTTGGTTTAGGGAGACATCATTGCTGTTGTCTATAGTTTAGATGACACATACCTTCTGAACTAAATTCTCGCTTACATGTTTGGTGATGTATAGGCAAAAATTAAGCATACACAAGTTACACCTGAACATGCATGGATTTCTGGTCTAAATATATAGCACCAAATATAAAATAATAAGAACAATAACAATAAAATAATAATAATAATAATAATAATAGAATAAATATAAGCACCAAGTATGTGTCTTAACACTTCCAACGTTCTAACAACCCTGTATATGAAAGTGTTAAAAAGTGTCCCCGTGCTTTTTTTATTTCAACTTTTAGCATGTCCTTACAAATGTTCTTTAGATGTAAATCTGTGAGCAGGACAAAGGTTTATTTGCATGCAGATTGAGGCTGGATTTCTACCTGGATCATTTACACTGATTATGCACAAAGTGTGTCCCAAGATTAAGCATAAATAGTCTTTGGAAATGATTTTGTAATACTTATTTCTGACTGCAGCAACCAGGACTCTAATCAAACAGCTGGCAAACAACTAGTGATGAAGAACCCTCATTTCTGGTGGCAGAAATTAGAGTGATGTGAGCATCCAAAATGGTGTATGATAGATGCAAAAAAAAATGATGAGGAATCTGTCAGTCACGTTCTGCTGTACAGGTGTACCAGCTTGTGGACACTAGCCTGATGAAGACCTTGACTTGTTAGAAATACTCTCCTTCATTTAGTTCTCATTTGGTGTCTTCATCGAACAGTAGCTAGTAATGGTTTCATAGAAACAATGTCCTGAAGTTTTCCCATAGCTATTGAAAAACAAACAAAACAACAACACTTCTCCCCCAAAACCATGCACATCTCTCCCATCACCTACCTACAACCTTCTTGCAGTGATTTTTAGTAGCTTTCTTCTAGATCTGAACATACTGGACTGGAACCTTGAAAATCTCATTGCTGTTGCTGTAGGACCTGCTGCACACATCTTGAATGGAAGAACTCTTCAAGGCATTGAAAGCATTGGTTTGAATTCCTGTTCCAAATACATTTCATCTCTGGCTTGGATAAAAGAAGGAACTTGCCTTGCAGTTGGCACTAGTGATGGAGAAGTGCAAGTACTTAATAATTTACTTTTTCAGTCTTTTCTCCATTTCTAGCTAAAATACCCACAAGACAATATGTATTTTTTTTTTTTTTAATTGAAACAAAACAGAAAGGTAGGCTGAAATACAGAAAAACCCTTCTGGAGACAACATTTAGCACTTATCCCATATTATCATGCATTTTATTGAATAAGTAAATGCTATCCACTATTATCTACATGGAGCCTATGAAGCTACGAAAGAGCTGGTGACTGAACTAATGACTCAGCTGTCCAAAGAGTCAGAATTTTTCCAAAAGTAAGAGTAACTCTAAATTATTTTTTTCTCAGCACAGGCTATTCTTTCTTGTACATCTCTTGCAAAGAGATCTGTCCAGTACTGACAGATGCCTTTAGAACTTCAGCTAAAATTCTCTTTATGGATTCACACACTTACAAGCAGAATTTGACTTCAGTCTGATTATACCCATACCCCTCAGGCTGCTGTTACAGAGCAGTCCTGTTATTGAAAGTTTTTTTTGGACCTTGGCTGAGATGCTAGAAAATATGGGGATCTACCTGCTGCAGTTCTGAGTCAGCAGTCTGAAGGTACTGAAGGGCAGTGCTTTCAAACATGCACTTCCAAACACAGCCATATAAATAAATGGCTTTAATCTCAGAGATGCACATTCCCTCACAGTAAAATTTGAAAATACTCCTCCTTGTCTTAGTTGTGAAATAAATGAGCTTGAAGTTGTCCATATGTCAAACTAGAACTGGGCAGTGGTTTACATGCAAACAAATTATGAGAACTATATATATGTATATATGTATATTTTACCTCTTAAATTTGTATTTGTTTTGTTTGTTTTGGATTGGCAGCTGTGGGACATTGAAACCAAAAAGAGGTTGAGAAATATGTTTGGTCACCTGTCTGTAGTTGGTGCTCTGAGCTGGAATCATTATATTCTGAGCAGGTGGGTGGTGTAGCATGTTCCCAGAAAGAATCCTGATGCTTTCACTTAGACAAGTGTCAAGCTTTCATTTTAGCTGTTTTTGTTGGCTCTGCTTGTAGGTGATATATCCTGTGACTTAACAGACTTTGCAGGAATAATATGTAGGTTTCCTTAATGGCAGGATAGAAGCCAAAGGGAATTCAGCCCACTTCTTTAGTCTTTTCTTCTCACTCTTTTAGAAAACTGTCAGCACTTGCAGAATCTCACTAGGATGTGGAGACTATGGTTCTAGTTTTGTGAAAAGCCTGAGCTCTAAATGGTGTTGTCTCCAGTGGGTCTGGACTCCAAAAACGTTAGCCTACTCTATGCAAGGGAGAGGGCCTGTATCTTAGGCTCTATTGATAATCATGGCAGCACCTGTCTTTTTAGTTACATAGCAACACGGAAACAATAGCAAAGGTTGACTAACTTTGTTGTTAACCTCAAGATGAAAGTATCTCTTGATAAGAACACTAGAGGTAGTTTTATTTTTATTTCATATGATGCTGTGGCTTTTGGTTCTATTGGGTGTGGTAGATGGAGTGAGGTACAAGGATACCAGATAATCAAGCAGATAATAAAGTGCTGTGGCTCTTGCAGAAGTAGGTACTGTGGTGGGCTAAGCTACAAGGGTGTAGCTTCAACACCTGCCAGTGCCAAGTGGCATAACCTTGTAACAGTAATGATTAGTTTCAGTGTGCATTTCAGCTTGGCCAAAGTAGTGAAAACAACAGAAGCATTACAAATCTCTGAGTAGAAAATGATTATAAAATTCAACGTGGATCTGTGAACTACAGTTATTGTTGATAATCTAGGTTCAGATAAAAGATTTCTCTTTTTAGGTCTGAATCTAACCAGTTCATTACTGCACAGTTAAAATAATCCATAAAAAAAAAATGGCATGGAATTAGTATTCATTGTAACTAAAATAAAAGCAGAATTCTTACAGAAAACTTCAATATCAACAGTTGATACTTTGGGATTGCACACTAATTCCTGTGGTTAAAAATTGCCCAACAATACATCCTCAAAATAATGAACCTCTAAATAAATTTCAGTACTACAAATTAACTTGTCCCAAGTTTTTATTAGCTTCTATTTGTCTTCAGCAAAACAGATACTATCTTCTTTGTCAAAAGCAAATAATTCTGATTTCTTAGTATACCAAATAAAAAACTTTATTTCCAAACAGGATTCTCAGGAGCCAGGCTCCTTCCCATCTCTACCACTACAATAACTGAAAACCTTAATTTGGCCATTCAATTCATCTCTTTTGGTTAGAATTAATGCTTATTATTTAGGAAGAAAAATATATACAAATCTTCAGGAGATAAATGATCATGCCTTTGCATATAATGCATATACTGCTATGTGTATTTATAAATATTTTCCATAAAGATGTGCTTAATATTCACTAGTGCACTGCTCGGTTGAAATCTTTCAGGCTTTTGTAGACTTCAAAAGCATGGCAGGTAGGTAATCCAAGCACAATAGAGTGGCATTCAGTCACTTTGTGCATTTTTAGAGCTTCCAAATCACTCTACTTGCATCTGAGAAATCTCTTAAGAGTCAGTATGGGAAGGTCTCCAGTTGTTATTGCCTGAAATGGATCTGTTGCAGTAATGTCAGATCAGATACCTGTTTCTCGGATACCCAGAAAGTAGGTAGTGAATTTGCTGATTTTTTCAGTGTCATCAGAACAGGAAATGTTAATTTCCAGCAGGAGGCTCTATTGTTTTGGTATATGTTTAATGTAGGTAATATCCTTAGAAAGGCAGTAACCACTGATGAGTAAAACCCACATCCAGGAGATAAACTCTAACAGTAGCTGTGCTTCCAGACAGGGTATTTCTTCCTTCCTTTGGTAGACTGACTCTTCTGGCCATGGTATCCGTGGGAGAGCACAGCCTGAGGGAGTGGACCCTCAGGACAGATAAAACCATGCACCCATTTTCTAACAGGTAACTAGTGCAGCAGTGTCAGACAAAGAGGGGAAATATGCTGTGACGGGTAGAGGTGACTAGTGCAGACTTTCATTCAACCTGGAAAAGGGAAAGAGAAAGGGGCCAAGAGGGGGGACAGGATGGAAGAACACAGTGACTAGTAAACCTTTTCCCAGGCCAGTGCAGTTTTACACTGCCTCTTTGTTGGGTGTGGAGTCGCATCCAGCCTTGGCAAAATTCATGTTGCAAAAATACTTTTTTTGAAGAATGGAAAGAGTTTACATTGAGTGGTTAACTGTTGAACAAGCGGGCATAGGTGGCAATGTGGATTCAGGCAAATGAAAACCATGATGAAGAACAGGTATTTTGCCTGGCTGGTTCCGAGCAGCCGCTTTGTCCCTTTCTGTTGTGAGCCGCCCCCGACAAAGTACTGTTGTACTGCATGCATGCTTTGCTCTGATGTGGTTTGCTTCTGAAACCACTGAAGAAACATGAATATGGTGAGGTAGATTTCTGTCGTTAACATCAAATGTAAGCTGTCTTTTTCTCATTTACAGTGGTTCACGACTGGGATCTATTCATCATCATGATGTTCGCGTTGCTCAGCACCACATTGGGACTCTTTGCCAAAACAAACAAAGCATTTGCAGCCTGAAATGGTCACTAACCGACCAGCTGCTCGCAAGTGGATCTAATGATGGTACGTTGAATATCTGGCCTAGTGACCCTGGTGTGAAAGTGCAGTCACAGCCATTGAAGACCATACCTCACTCTTCAGCAGTTAAGGTATATGGTGGAGGAACATCTTTTCTGTATTTGATCTCATGAAATTATGTTGTTGATGTAAACAGTTATGGATTTTTTCAGATTATTTCAGTTTCTTTGGATTTCTGTTAGCTTCTTCTCCTGACTCCAATGCAGTTAATTTTCAGACCAGTTCTCATGCAGATAAGTGTGCTAGTGCTTTGACTGATTAGGAAATGTTACCAAATCAGTAGGCCTTTGTAAATACTATATCAAACAGCAATGAAACCTACAGCCTGCTCCCCTCCTTCTCTATCCTGTGCAGAAGACTTCACTGGCACAATACTTAAAAGTTACCAAACAAGACCTTTCAATAATAGGAGTTCTGGAAAAGTCTCTCAGAACTTCCTTCTGCTGAAATTATTTTAAATGTGAGATTTCTTTTGACCTCCTGATCATATTCTCATTTCAGGTTATGATTGATGGTAACAAAGGATCTGAACTGAGAAACTGGAAACGGGACAATTTAGATTCTCTGACTTTATAAAGTCCCAGTCTGTGAGGGAGACGGGACAGGTATCAGCAGTAAGGAGGAGTCTAGCATATATGAACTGTTATTCCTCCCAGAAAATTCTGTGTCTGGCTTGAAACACTGATGTTAAAGGGTTAGAGAAGGTTATTGAAACAGGTAGAATTCAGTTCTTAGTAGCTTTTCTTCAGGTAGAGACTTGGCCTTAGGCATACTGAGGAAATAACTCGAAGAGGTCATCTTTCTTTTAAGTCCTATAAGCCATGTTGCTGAAGCTTCTGTGATGGCTTTTTCAGACAGTTAAGTCAGACTGTATTCTGCTGGCTTCTTCTGGTACTTCTGTGACTTGTGAAGGGGAAGCAAAGAAACTAGAGTGTAATGGGCTTGTGTGATGGAGTGGGTGCTAATGTGAAGCAATGTCAAAGGAAGGAATGCTTGGAGGTTTGGGATCCTACATTCTGCGTGTATATGGAAGGAGGAGAATGATATAGGGTGGAAAAAAAAAAAAAAAAGATACATTCTGAGTGCTTGTTGCAGTTCATTTTTCCAGTTAGGCTTTTAAGCAAAATCTATTCTCTGTTTTTTGAGCTAACCTCCTAGTCTGTTCTGGCATATGTTTTCTTTTCCTTTTCTTTTTTTTTTTTTCTTCTCAGGCTATGAACTGGTGTCCTTGGCAGTCCAAAGTCCTTGCTACAGGGGGTGGAATGAAAGATGGGATTTTGCGTGTCTGGGACATAAACCGTGAGAAAATCATCCAAAGTGCAGCTACAGATTCTCAGGTGAAATGATGAAATGTCTGCATGCTTGGGCTCTTCTTGTATAGCTGTGCTCATTTGGCAAACTCCCACTGACTTTGAGGGTGGTTCTGTGGACAGAGGAACAGCAGGATTTTCTCTGGATCTGCTTCTTGTAGCATTGTGCTACATTCAGCACCGCAGTGTATGGCTGGACTCAGAAGCAGTTTGTTGTTTTTAATTCACCACTTCTGTCTCCACACAGAAGTGCTTGAAGAGGAGGTGGTCTCACAGCCAGACACTCTTTATCTTCTTTTCCGTAGTGACAATGATGGTTTTGGCCAAAACTCTCATGAGGAGAGAACATTGAGTGGGAAGGAAACATCCCAGAGTGCTGGTGTAGGGAGAAGTCTAAGAGTCAGAGGGCAAACATCAGTCTCTGGAGTTTGCATATTCGGAGACAGAAGAACAGATTGTCGGCTGGAATAAAGCAGCATAACTGTTGATATTCCTGGAGCTATGACAACTTAGCTGAAGATGTGTTTAAAGGGCTTTGGTTTTATACTGATAGGCTATTACCACATTTAGACAATAAAACAGCTGTGCTTTCAAGTATTGCAAGAAATGGAAAGATCCTTCTAAATAAGCAAATATTCTGTTGGGGCTACTTCTCGGCTTGTTTAAATACTGTAGAAAACATTTCAGATCTACTGAATGGTGTATATCAGGCCTTTCTGAAAACTAAAACATTATTTTACATTGCAATAGATTTGTTCCTTGCTCTGGTTACCTAAAACCAGTGAACTGATGACTGGACAAGGCCTTCCTGGAAATCAGATGAAAATGTGGGAGTATCCCATGCTTGTCAATTCATTGAAACTCTATGGCAAGTATTTCAGTTAAAAGTTTTAACTATTTCAATTAGCTATCTTCCTGTCTAATCAACACGTTTTCACAAATGCAAACCTTATACTTTTAAGTAAAATAAAGTTAAAAAGAGCAGTCGCCCACACTTCTGTCACTACCTACGTGCATACATTCATTCACAGAATCCAGATGTATGGAATTGTAAAGGTTGACTTATTGAGATAACGGTGTAAGTTGCTTCTGTAAAATTCCTTGGTTTTAATGATGGGGTTCTCTTATCATTTCTAAGGCCACCTATTGTGGTTTAACTCAGCCAGCAGTTAAACACCACACAGCCTTTCGCTCACCCTCCCCCCTCCCTCTCTGGGATGGGGGAGAGAAACGGAAAAGTGAAGCGTGTGGGTTGAGATAAAGACAGTTTATTAAGACAGAAAAATATAATAATAATAATAACAATAATGATGATAGTACTACTAATGTGTATGAAACAAGTGATGCACAATGCAATTGCTCACCACCTGCTGACCAATGCACAGCCTCACCTCAAGCAGCCGGTCCCACCATATCCCAGCTAGCCCCCCCTATATATTGTTCAGCATGACCCCAAACAGTACGGAATACCCCTTTGGCCAGTTTGGGTCAGCTGTCCTGGGTCTGTCCCCTCCCAGCTCTTGCTGCACCCCCAGCCTGCCCGCTGGCAGGACAGTCAGAAGCTTAGTGTAAGCACTGCTCTGCAACAATTAAACCATCAGGGTGTTATCAGCACTCTTCTCATCCTAATCCAAAACATAGCACTCCACCAGCTACTAGGAGGAAAATTAACTCTGTCCTAACTGAAACCAGGACACCACCCCAGGTGCAGGATGTTGGGGGTGTCTTCACCCTAAGGTTTGCTGGGCCTGGACTGAGTGTTGTTGCCAGTATATTGTAGGCTGGTGGCCTTCTAGATAAAATGAACCAGAAGTGGGATTACTGTTTTACAGCTGGTCATGCCAGGATACTGAACCAGCTTCCAAATGAAGTTTGAAATAAATCTCTATGTCTGAGTTTTAGTTAATGATTTTGGCTGTGAAGCAATGTAATGCAGCATGTTTCCCTTGTGCCATGCTGACATGTGCTGGAGTTCCCTTACAACTCTGTATTGGTCCATGAAGCTGCAGAGCTACGTATCACAGTTGTTTTTTGACACTAAGCCTTTTTTGTTGCTGGAGCTTGCTGTCAGTCAGATGCATTGTGTTTTATTTGTTCCAGTGTTAGCTGAAGTGATCCAGTAGACAATCTGAAGTTAAAGGAAAGCACAAATTTGCGCATGGCTGGATTTTATCAAGCATGGTTGGTTTTCACACTCATCGACAAGATATAACAAATGAAGCTTTGCATTTTTAACCTGACAGACATAGTTTATATTTACAAATGCTTTTTATACCCTATTATTACATTTGAGGGCATTTATTAAATTTCTGATGTGTGCTATCCTGGCATGCTGTCCTTGGAACCACTGACCTGACTTCAGTACTAGACTGTAAGGGAAAATCAGAGAATAGTCAAAACAAAGACAAAAGGAAGAGAGGTCAGCAAAGACATTTGTTTATCTGGTTACAGATTATCCTTGTGTTGTGCTGCTTATCTGTGCTGCTTTTTCTTCCTTATCCCTACTCATTCGTGGGATATTTATGGCTCTTTTAATTGCATATAATTTGCAGATAATTAATTTGCAGATAATTTCAAATAATTTGCAATAATTAATTGCAGATAATTGCATGTGATATTCTAAGAAATAATATGGAAAGTGACATGATCATTAGTCTTAACTGCTGCATTAAGGTTTCTCAATTCTTGAGTGTAGTTTTTCTTGAATGTAGTTTTTCAAAGAAAACCTAGATCTACCTTTGAGAATAGTGTATGGTGTAAAACGTTTACCATATAAGTAAAAGATGTTGGTAACTTGGTGATGCTGGAGGGTTAGTTATCATCCTATTTCTGATTCAGTTTACTTCACCTGCAAAAGAAAATAATTTTATTTTAAAATAATTTTATTGAATAAAAAGACCAGATTGCTCTTACACAGATATATTTCTGCTTATGAAGACTTACTAACTTACTGTAAGCAAGTGAATGCTTGAAATAATTTAAAATGTATCAAAATATGTTCAGAAAAAACACTGTAATGGATGATTATGACATGGTTCAAAATCAGCCTCAAACATTCTTCAACACATGAGTCTTACACCCAAAGAAATTAATAGATAAATTGTAACTGAATTTTATTGTTGAATCCTGCCAAATTCAGAAAATCCTGAAAGTGCTCAGGATCATCAACAACTACTGCTGAGTTCTTTAGTACTGCCTATTGCTGAACATATTCAGAACAGAATAACAAGTGAAAGATAGTAACCTTCTTGTTGCAGAACCCATCTCTGATATGCTTCTGACAGAACTATTAGAGTTTCTAGTTTCACTAGAAAAAAATGCATTTTGGATATAAATGTCCTCCCTCAGAGCAGTTCTTTTAGATCAAAGAAAACACATAAGGAACCAAAACATGTAATTGCTGTGAAAAGCACCTGGATGTGATCTTGAAACATAGGAATAAAACCCCAGCCTTCTCTACTCAGAAAATATGGAAATGAATAATTTCAACTTTTCTGATTTCTTCTGATCCTTCTTCTCTTCTTTTTGACTGAAACTAGTAATTAGTTTTCAGTCAGTATTGTGAATAGTTTTGGATGCTTACAAAGGCCACATCTGCAGCTGCTCCTTCAGAATTGCTACAGACACTGAATGGAGACAGTGAAAGGAAATTCCTGGCTTGCAAACTCCTGGTCCTTGATATTGACAAAGATCGTGTACTCTTCAATCTCTTAAGAAGGAGCAAAGCCTCAAAAAATATCTGCTGGAATAATTTAGTAGTGGTATTGAAACTCTGATTACAAAGTTTAGGTGGGACACATATTTCTCAGCATTAGGACAGCAGAAACTTCCTTTCAGTCAAAAAGCCATTGCAGCAGCTTCACAAAGTTAGGGCAGCCTGGCCGTCCACAACACTCCTGTGTATCTTCATCAGGTACCATTGTGGTAAGTTCCACAGTGTCAGAGGGTCTTACAGGTCTTCACATGCTTATCCTCATAATATCATTCTGAGGATTAATACTATTTCCCCATTGTGTTCATGGAGAATGTGGGTACGAAGATCGTCTATATTCCTTGAAGTTGGTCACCCAGGACTTTCTTCACACCTTCACACTTCTTTTTAGGATGTGGTTCATCTTGTCTGTTTTAGGTGAGAGACACTATGTCTCAAAAGTGTCTTTTTTTTTTTTTCCCCTGTGGATGATGACCTCAACTATATGACCATCAGTAACTCATCAACCCAAAGAAGCCAGTAAGTAAAAATAGAAAAGCTTCTAATTTGTTGTGCCCCTTTGTGCCTAAAACCTTAGCACTGGCATTGCGTAAGATCACACAAAGGCTTATGGCAGAGTAATGAGGTAAATACAGGTCTCAGTAGTCTTAGTTTAATACCAAACAGTTTTTCTTTCTTTGTTTCTAAAGTCAGTTACTTCTACCAAGGGAGATGCTTGTATAACCAGGTTAATGCCTTTTGTACATTATTTGTGCTGCCAGGCTGGGATAGCTTCTGGCTTTCAATATCTAGCTGCCAAAGTTTAATACAACTGCAGACAAACTCAAATGTGCTCAATTTCAATAAATTATTCATTGGGATCACTGTTAAAAGATCCTTTTAACAGTAATAACGTAGCAGCTGGAAACACTATCTCATGATTGTTGGATCAGCTGCAAACTGTCTGCAAGGCATGTGCAGCCAGATGGGAAAGCTCAGGAGTGAGAGACATTACCAAACACAGATGAGACTGATGTTGTAAATGCAGTGGAGAATCATGAGTTCAGGTTTAATGTTTTTCTTTGACAGAAATTACTTTGCAATGCAATGCAATACTGGCAGTTAAAGCTTGGTCCCTAAAAATAAAATACTGCCTTCAGTTCTTTCTTAATGTGAAAGTACTCTATAAAAAAGGCTATCTTTACACATCCTGTGAAGCATATCAACCCGATGCAGTAAAAGCAGAACAACCTCTGCTAAAGGTGATAGACATTCTCTCTGTAAAACTGTGCTATATCTTGCATTTTTTGTACATATTTTGTCTTCCAGGTCATAAAGGTAGAGTCCTGCATATAGCCCTGAGCCCAGACCAGAGCAGGCTCTTTTCAGTTGCGGCTGATGGGATAGCTTGTCTGTGGAAATGCCACAAGTCTGGGAAGAGCAAGCACAACAGCAAGGTTTTTTATAATGGTTATTAGAGCTCATTCCTGTGACTTCTTTTCCTTGAAAGCAAATGATTAAATGTATTTCATCAATTCAATAAAATTCAAAATATGTGTGTTCCTTCCAATTGAAACATGGCAAAAGATAGTATCTTTTTTTTTTTCTTTTTTCCAAGAGTAAAGCAATTTTTTTGCTTTTTATCCATCATATGAAATGTTAGTAGCTTGTCTTTCTTAGCCTAGAGGAAAAATATTCTAACTCTGAAGAATAACATCATATTTATTTTCATTAAACTAGCAAGCATGGATGGAATCCACCATTTGTCAAGTGCCAACATAAAGACTTAGGTCCTGCCTTTAGCTATAACTCTTGTAAGTTATTTTACATGATTTTAATGTCTCTGCATGCCAGGCTGTGTAAATTGGCTTGCGTCATTCAAGGGCTGGGATCAGCAGATACCAGTCCAGGGGACTGGATTGTTCCATATATCACATAGATCATGGTATAAAATCTGTCTAAATATTTCTAGAGATCTTGGCTAAATATATGACTCTAACTAAAAAGAAACATTTTCTTTGGAATTCTTCATTGTTTTCATAGTGCTAATGATAACTAACTTTACTAGAAATACTGTCTGTATTGGATTTTGAATTGTTTCCTTTTACCCACCTACTGTGTCTGATGGATGTTTGAAAATATAAATAACTGCATAATAATTATATTAATATGCATAATGTTGTAATCAACTGGCTAACAAGCCAGCTGGGCATTGCCAAAGAAGTATTCTGTTTGGATCAAACACAGCACTTAGTTCATTGATCCCTTGAAGGTACCAGTTTAATTCTGGGTGTCAGAAAACCTGGCAACTGTTACTCTTGTATGAATTTTATTTAGTGCTCACAAGAACCAGACCTTTTGGACTTTTATTTGTCTGCATAAGACCTGTACACTGTCAACAGCTAAGTAAGGATGTCAGGATTGGTCTTCATTGCTATTCAGGTGCAGCTCAGTAGTGCTATTGAAAGCATGTTCTAACCACAGATGTCTTTTGAGCTTTGATTTCATTATTGGGAATGAAGAGAAGCAGGGGACAAAGACATAAAAATTCACTCTTACTTTTGTATATTAAAAACCCTTTGAGCTCAGAAACCCATACTGCTTTTGCCCCCTTCCCCTCACCCCCCAGTGTTAAATATGTTTTGAGTATTTCTTGTAGATGAACTGGGAGAAAATGGAAGATACAGTGTCAGTCAATGGAAAATTAAGCAGTGACAAAATGCTTGAGAAGAGATAGGCAACGTTAAAGGGGCATAAGCATCACTGGAAATGAATGTGAAACTGTCATGTCTTTAGTTCTCATCATTCTTAAAACCTCATCTGCCGTTCATAAGTCACGTGGTCACTAACTTTAGGTCTGGAAGGTTGAGACCACTCATCTTTTTTGCCTAAGAAGTTGATAATTTACAGTACATCTGCCACCAAGTTACTGGTTTCTGTGGTCATCTCGCTTGGTCTTCAGAAGAGGCTCGAAAATGGGAACATTGATTATCAATTTAGAAATGACTATGAAGATGTCTAAGAATGGGAAATAACTTATACTGTGCCTGTCTTCTCATATGAGCATGTTTCCTGCAGCTGATTTTATCAAATGTTTAGAATATGAATTAAATATTCAAAACACCATTTTTTTAAAGGTTAAAAGTATATATATTTTTTTTAGGTTTATGATTGGGGAAAAAAAAAAAAGCAATGACATTCAGTTCTTTACTCATATATTTCTGGGATGCCCTCAGAAATTCATTCCTTCCTATGATGGTACATAAATGATATTGGTTTGCCAAACAAAAGAAAAGAGGATGGAGTTGTGGTGGAGAAGGAGCTAGTTAATACTCAAGCATATTTTATTGGATGCTCAACTGTCAAAATAAAAAAAAAAACTACCGTACTTTCAGACTGAGAAGTGCTCAGTACTTAGTCAATTATCCTTGTTCATTAATGAGTTGTAAAGCTGTGTTGGCCCTGGACGTATTTTAACACAATACCTAAAAGTGGGAGAAGTCACCGATTTCTCTAGAACTAGCCAGTAAACGAATATCTGAAACTGTGTGTGTGTGCACACTGTAGCTCTGTTCTATGACCCTGCCTAAGAAAGCATTTAAACATGTATTTAAACTCGAGACTGTGACTAACTGGGGGATTGGTCTAGATGATCTTTCAAGGTCCCTTCCAATCCCTAACATTCTGTGATTCTGTAATCTGAGACAAATTAAACATATACTGAGGTGCCTTTTCTGGATATGCTTCTTTTCTAAATGGGCTCCTCTACTGTCAGTTCCTTTCACATGGCCAATATCTGTCTTGCTGTAATAGAAATTTGAGGACTTGAGTGGGTAGCATGCTTCTGCTTCACTAAACTTTTAGTTTGTTTCTGAATACTTACAGGCATAGAGCACACAGTTGGTAGATCAGTGTTCATGCATGGCTGCCTCATTCTGAGATCTTAACATCTGAAATCAGGCAAAATGTGAAACCTTGACTTCTTCCCTGTAAAATGTGGTATATTTTTAGCTCATTGCTGTTTAGGTGTGTAGCCTGTGGTTCACAGAAGCACAGCATCCCAGAAGGGCTGAAGCTGACAGGGACCTTTGGGTCCATCTGGCCCAGCCCCTGCTCCAGCAGGGACACCCAGAGCAGGCTGCCCAGGACCATGTCCAGGTGGCTTTTGGAGATCTCGAAGGAGGAGATCCCTCATGCACACAGTGAGGAAGTGCAAGTTCCTGATGTTTGGATGGAAACTCAGGTTTGTGCACACTGTCTCATCTGGTCACTGAACACTGCTGGGAAGAGCCTGACTGTCCTCTTTACATCCCCAGCCCCCTCCAGGTATTTATACATACTGAGATCCCACCGCTGTGCCTCCTCATCTCCAGGCTGCACAGTCCCAGCTCTCTCGGCCTCTCTTCATAGGCTCATCCTCTCTCATCATCTTGGTGGCCCTGCACTGGGCCCTCTCCAGTGTGTCCACATCTTTGGACACAGTGCTGTAGGTGGCTTCACCAGTGCTGAGTAGCGTGGAGCGATCTCCTCCCTTGACCTGCTGGCGCAACTTTGCCTCATGCAGCCAAGAACAAGACCATTAGCTTTCTGATCAGGACGGGCATGTGGCTGACTCATGTTTAGACCCAGACTGAGGCAGAGATCAGTGCAAGGTGCTGCCCCTGGGTTGGGGCAATCCCAGACACAAGCACAGACTGGGAGAAGAACCCATTGAGAGCAGCCCTGTGGGGAAGGACTTGGGGGTTCTGGTGGACAGAAAGCTCGACACAAGTCAGCAGTGTGTGCCTGCAGCCCAGAGGTCCAACTACATCCTGGGCTGCACCAACAGAGGGCTAGGCAGCAGGTGGAGGGACGGGATTGTGCCCCTCTGCTCTGCCCTGGTGAGGCCCCACCTGGAGTGCTGCATCCTGGGCTGGGGCCCCCAGTACAAGCAGGATGTGGGGCTGTTGGAGTGGGTCCAGGGGAGGGCCACAGAGATGATCAGAGGGCTGGAGCACCTCTGCTGTGAAGACAGGCTGAGAGAGCTGGGGATGTTCAGCCTGGAGAAGAGAAGGCTCTGGGGTGACCTCACTGCAGCCTTTCAGTACCTGAAGGGGGCTTATAAAAAGATGGAGAGTGACTCTTTTCCCAATCAGATAATGATAGGATGAGGGGGAATGGTTTTAAACTAAAAGAGGGGGAATTTAGATTAGAGGTTAGAATGGTGAAGAAGGAATTGGGAGGAGCCCTGATGAGAAGGACGTGGGGGTTCTGGCGGATGAAAAGCTCAACATGAGCCAGCAGTGTGTGCTTGCAGCCCAGAAGGCCAACTGCGTCCTGGGCTGTATCAAAAGCACTGTGCCCATCAGGGTGAGGAATTATAGAATCATAGAATATCCTGACTTGGAAGGAACCCACCAAGAATCATTGAGTCCAACCCGTGGCACCACACAGATCTACCCAAAAATTCAGATCATAGGGCTAAGAGCACAGTCCAAACACTTCCTAAACTCCAACAGGCTTGGTGCCATGATAATGTCCCTGGGGAGCCTGTTCCAGTGCGTGACAACCCTCTCAGTGAAGAACCTCTTCCTGATACCCAGCCTGACCCTCCCCTGTTGCAGCTTGACTCCATTCCCTTGGGTCCTATCGCTGGTCACTGAGGAGAGCAGATCGGCGCCTGCCCCTCCACTGCCCCCTGTGAGGAAGCTGTAGGCCGCACTGAGGTGTCCCCTCAGCTTCTTTTCAAGGCTCAGCAGGCCAAATGACCTCAGCTGCTCCTCATACGTCTTCCCCTCAAGGCCCTTCACCATCTTCATAGCCCTTCTCTGGACACTATGAATGTGAATGTGGAGGTTGGAACTAGATGACCTTTAAGGTCCCTTCTAACCTGTGCCATTTTTTGAAATTCTATGAAAATTCTATGATTCTTCCCCTCTGCTCTGTTCTCCTGAGACCCCACCTGGAGTCCTGCATCCAGGTCTGGGGCCCCCAACAAAAGGACATGGACCTGTTGGAGTGAGTCCAGAGCAGACAGGTCGAGGGAGTTCGGGTTGTTCAGCCTGGAGAAGGGAAGGCTCCAGGGAGACCTAATAGTGGCCTTCCAGTACCTAAGGGGGGGTCTATTCCACTTTCTTTTAGCTAATGCCTATTTCCAGTGAAACAAACTTGAAAGCAACGCAAAATAAAATCCATTTTTATGGTGTTCATGGTATTGTAGAAACCCAAGATTGTCCCCAAGAGATGGGGAGAAGCATTTTTCACAGTAGGTCTGTCTGATTTTTGACAAGAGGTTGCTGAAGCACGCAGAAATTTCACTGCATGTCTGTCAATGGCAGTAATGAAACCACAAAAGTAAGATTCTTTTTCTTTTCTTTTCTTTTCTTTTCTTTTCTTTTCTTTTCTTTTCTTTTCTTTTCTTTTCTTTTCTTTTCTTTTCTTTTCTTTTCTTTTCTTTTCTTTTCTTTTCTTTTCTTTCTTTTCTTTCTTTTCTTTTCTTTTCTTTTCTTTTCTTTTCTTTTCTTTTCTTTTCTTTTCTTTTCTTTTCTTTTCTTTTCTTTTCTTTTCTTTTTTTATATGTTACAAACAGTGCTTTATCATATCAATGCTCCAGCTGAGATACCTTCTGTCATTTAAAGAAACAACAAAGGGAAGATGGATTTTCAGCTGATCTTTTTTTTTTTTTTAGTATAACTTTGCTGACCTTGTTTCATTCTTTGAACATAGTGCACATCCAAAACATTATGGGCACAGAATATCTGTACTGCAACAGACACTGTGTTCCACATAAATGGACAGCTTCAAACAATAGGTTTTATTGCTGTTTCTTTATTAAATGCAGATTACATGAAGGGATGAAGTATAGAGGTTTCAAATACATGAAAGTTAGGAAATAGTTCTTATATCCCGCAGTCAGAAGTCCAACTAAACATAACAACTAACAACTATAAGGACATCAAACTAGTGAAATTCAGCATGGGAATAGCTGTGTGGGAATATCATTATTACCAGTAAGATGAACCTGTTTTAAAAGTATATTTCAAAACTAGATTTTGCTATGCAAGTACAAAGTAGGAATTTGCTTGCTCAAAAGCCAGTCTGTAAGTCTCCCCCTATGGTTTTCTTTATCCACTGAATGTATTGCTTTGTGAGGCGAGTGTAGACACCAGGGGCACCAATAGCACCACACTTATTTTTTTTCCCAAAAGAGGTGATGCCTCTCATCACATTTTTACATATTAAAGGTCCACCTGAATCCCCCTGGAAAAGAGAGGACAAAAATTGTTATTCAGATTTATAAAAGTGAAAAAATCCTTCCCTTACATAAAGCTTGCTCCAGCTCCACAGTAGAAATAAAAACATAGACAGTGCTGGTGGTTTTTTTCCTTGTTTTCTCCTTAGAAGGTAAGCTCTTCACTTTTCATTAGCAAAAGGAAAACAAAACAACAACAAAAAAGAATTCAATGTGATCTTTCAAGTGTGATTTATATGGAATAAATTTAATTCAGTGTCAAGGTATAGCAGGTCTTAATAAACGGGAAAAGAAAAAAATGGACACTTTCCTCTTGAAAGGCACAAAGTGTCTAGAAATTGCTATTTTTTTTTTTTGTAGTATTGTTACTTCAGTATTTAATTCTTTTAAAATGTGGTTGTTCTCACAAAGTTTTGCATTTGACTTGGCATCCAGTCATATTTTATTTATTTTTTTTTTTTAGCAAAATCTGTTCCAAAACCCTCTGGTGTCAGAGAAGGTGTTCCACTGACTTTAGCTGCTTGAGAAAGGGCTTGTAAAGATTTTTCTATCAAAAAACATTTGAATGCAGAAAAGAACAGCGATCTGCCTTGCCTAGATTAAAACAACATCCGTGACGATGAACTTTTGATTTTAAACTAGAAGAAAAAGCCCTGGTAAATTCTCTCAATTTTAGGATCATTCCTTCTTGAGCTGAGGATAGGCAGATCCTATGTCTGTAGAAGCTAGTATTTTATATTTTATTTTTAATATAACCTATGTGTATATGGGATTATATATGTAAATATACTTACCCGACATGAGTCCCTTTTGCCTTTCTCAGACCCTGCACATATCATCCCGTCTGTTATAGTAGGCTTGTTCCCATAATATTCTGCACTATTGCAAGTTTCTCTGCTGATGATAGTGACGTTGACTTCCCTCAGGGTATCAGAAGTCTTTCTGGGATTATTTTGAGTTTGTCCCCATCCTGCTACTCTACAAACAGTTCCTGGCTTCGGATCATCACCTGAGGTAGGCAGGTCAATGGGTTTCACAGCTTTATTAAGTTTTGCTCTTCTATTAAGCTGAGGAAGATATAGCAAATAGTTTTTATGTTCAACAGAGACACATGAAAGTTAGGTCTATCCTATTAATGGCAATTAATGATTACTGCAACCTGTCTTTCAGATACACCAATTGATTGTGAGGGGATTTATGTAATCAGTGAGGTAATATAGGAATAAAGAAAATGAGTATATATTGTCTTATGGAAACCCATTCAACTTCTGCTGAAACATTATATCTGAAAAGACCTTATTTCCTTTCCCTGGCACTCATATCATTGGGAGGTACCTAAGAAGAGGGAATCTGGGCCTGTTTGCCTAGAGCAAAATAACAGCAATAAGTGAAGCTGGCAAAAAAGAGAATCAGAGTTGAGAAATTTTTAATGGAACGTTTTTTTAGTCAGAACGTTACGGTTTTTAGACGATTTATTTTTACATTTGAAGCATGCTGCTTTCTGTGAATGAAATTCACATGCTTCTTTATTATTTCACAGAAAAGCCAGGAATTGCAATATGTAGGCCAAGCTGCGGAATTTTTCTGCTTTGAGTATTGGCATGCATTGCAGGAAATGTTGAGTGCCTTCGTCCCCATTGCATCCCCAGTTCCCCAGTCAGCTGGATTTGCAGAAACAGTTATCAGACACTCCTGTGCTTGATTTCCCTTCCTCACAAGAAGGAGGAAACTGGTGCATCATAGGAGATGCATATTGCTTGAGTGACGTGTAAGTAAGTACATACCTGCACCAGCATAAGGTCATGATCATGACGATTGGGCCAGTAGCATGGATAGCGAATTAGTTTTGCAATCTTAAAAACCTGTTTTTCTTTTTCTCTTCTTGTTCTTGAATGAGCTCCAAGAATAACTTCATCCTTGTTTTTGTCCCTGAGGAGAAAGACAACATGGTTATTTGGATTTACTTGTTGCAAGTCCATAATTCGTTGCTGATAAATGTGGTGCTGTAAATCTCTTTTCTCATGCCTGAAAAGCAGGAGTAATTCAGAAAAATGTAAAAAATTACCCTGTTTTACAAGTAGTTAATGAAAGTGTCTCAGTGAATCACAACTGATGCTATTCTACCTTCAATTTGCCAGGAACAGGCAGGGTTGAGGTATACACCATATAGCGGCCATATATTTTTACTACTGATTTTGGGCCCTGTGCTGCCTGGGTAGTAGAGATCTCCCTGTCTGGTGGCAGGAGAAATGGATAGAAGCCTCTGATGTCTGCAGAGCCCAGCGATTCACTGCTCCTGGGCAGGCTGCTGACAGAGCCTGTGTGAGGTCTGGCTCAGCAGCAGCTCCAGTGCTCCCAGCAGAGGCAATGGGTGGGATGTGAGATTTGAACCTCGCATCTCTCCTGGCAGGGAGAATGCGCTGGGCCAAATAGCCGTGTGCGGCGTGAGTCAGACAGGAGGGAGCAACACATCCAGTAAAGCAGAGGTCTCTAAGTGATTCCTGTCATCTGTCTGGAGAATGTTTTGCTCCTTTGTAATTGCATGTTGTCTTTCTGTGCTGCCCAGTGTGTCTTCTGCAGAATAAAATGACGGGAATTTGTTTCTGTTTTCTGAGCAGCTATTTAGACTGGCCAGTCCTCTCGCCAAGTGACTGAGAAAACAGGCATGGGTCTTTCCCCCAGATTTACCACTTCGGTGTTGGTATTCTGTGCTTGCCTGCAGCTAGAAACTCAGAAATGTCTCTTTAGAAACAACAAAGAACAGCATACCTTGTTACAGTATTTTTTACTCACCTAAGCACAGCTGTCAATATAATTTTTAAACATAGCAGTCAGAACATGATCATGATCAAACTAACTGCACACACCCACCAGCAATATGATCTTTTTTTTTTATGAGAAAACAGATACTCACTAATGACAATCTCCAAATTGGAGCGAAAACTTACACAGGACAGTGGGCAGCTGTTAACACCCAGTTTGGCTTGATCAAAGCTCCTCCACAGATAACTTCTGTTTTCTCTCTTATGATTAGGGCCATAAAAGGTCTTGAGTGTGGTTTTACTTCATCTCCTCCAATTATTTCCACACATAAACCTAAAAATAAAAATAAGCCACAATACATACAGCTGGGCTAACAAATACTGACAGGCACTGCAGTCTCCTGGAAAAGAACATTTTATGTAATCACAAAGTACGCAGACACACAGGTATATATGTGTGTCACAATGCTGGTCTTCAGGCTAGGTTTCTAAGATTGCTCAGCAGTGCTACTGCTGTATGTTTCAGTAGGACCAAAATTAGGTCAGTGCTGTGACAAAAAGAAAACAAACAAAGAAGAACGACCCCAAACCCACCACAACATTATTGATCTTGCACAGATTTATTTTCCTGATGTTCATGGCAATGGTTAAGTTCTTAGCTGTCATTGTAAGAACCCCAAATCTGACACCAGATAAATGTTGTGCATTATCTGTCCTACACAGATTCTTGGGAACTGGGTTGTATATGGTAAGTAACATCACATGAACGTGTTTGTCAGAAAAGCAGAAAACCAAGCAAATCATGTAAGTGCATGCCTGTAGAGAGAAAGATCAAAAACCATCATGTTAATTTTTCTGGTTTTAAGCTCAAAGAGATACAGAGAGTTCTACTATTGTAAGAACCACAATAACAATTGCAAGTACTTTCTTTATGCTAATGCACGTTTGCTTAAGTGGAACTGCATGCGTCAGCATTTGCCTTCAAAAACGTCTAATTTCGTACTTACCTCCAGGAATTACGAGGAGGATGACAGCAGCAGAGGTCGACAAGGTAAAGAAAGCTCCCATGGTTACTAGCTGCTGTTCTCCTCTGTTCACTATGCAATATATAGCAAAACAAAAAGGATGTGGGTTTTGTTTTTCCTCTTAAGGGTATTTGACATTTGTAACTGTGAAAAAAAGAAAACCCTCCCCAACAACATAGCTCACAGTGGAGGTACGAGTGAGAAGTTGCGTCATGTTGTGGTGTGAAGACAAAAAATCTCCTTTCTTTCACGTTCTTTCTGTAGCATTACTGGACAGTTAATATGAGCATCAGAGCGAATCTTTGCAAGCCACTACAAATCAAGTTACACAGTGGAACTTGACTTACCTAAATTTCAGCTTGATTCAGCTGCCTCCATGAAGATGTTTAGTTCCAGTCTAGACCCCAGCTCACAGGCCTCATCATCTGTAGTTTAAGCTTGCAAGGTAATTTCTGAAGTCTGCCTAGTCAATATACTGAAGAAATGCTGCAGAGACATTCAGTGGATGTCTTGGTTTTAGTTAGGATACAGTTAATTTTCCTCTTAGGATCTTGTAGTTTGCTATGTTTTGGATTTAGGATGAGAATAACATTGATAATCCGCTGATGTTTTAATTGTTGTAGAGCACTGCTTACACCAAGCCAAGGACATTTCAGCTTCTTGCTCTGTCCTGCCAGCGGGCAGGCTGGGGGTGCAGCAAAAGCTGGGAGTGGACAGACCCAGGATAGGTGACCCAAACTGGCTAAAGTGGTATTCCGTACAGTATGGGGTCATGCTGAACAATATATAGAGGGTACTAGCCGGGATATGGTGGGACCAGCTGCTCAGGGTTAGGCTGGGCATTGGTCAGCAGATGGTGAGCAATTGCGTTGTGCATCACTTGTTTTATATTATTATTATTATTATTATTATTATTATTATTATTATTATTATTATTATTATTATTATTATTAGTAGTAGTAGTAGTAGTAGTAGTAGTATATTTTTTGTCCTAATAAACTGTCTCTATCTCAACTCACAGGCTTCAGTTTTCTCGTTTCACACCCCCATCCTTGAGAGGGAGGGGGGAGGCTGAGCAAACGGCTGTGTGGTGTTTAGCTGCCGGCCGGGTTAAACCACAACAGTCTTTTTGGCACCCAACGTGGGGCACGAAGGGTTGAGACAATGACAGATCTGACCAGAGTGTGTTAAAACAAGATTCTGATAAGCATTACATCGGTTTAATAGTTACTAATCACAATGCCGATTTTTGTGATCTCAAGTCTGCTGTGCCTGTTTTCCAAATTGAGTTATATAGCACATTACTTAGTGTGTGTTTTCCCTGTCATGTTGATTATCACTCTGGGGTTTTGTACAGGGTTATTATTTTGCTGTAGTATGTAACACTGGCTTACGATATGATAAAATTACCAGCCATGAGACTAATCTGGTATTTGTACTCAGCATTGTCATCAACTCCATACTTTGGGAACCCTACCTCAGAAACTATTAATAATTACACCTTTCATGCTTTTTCTTCAGGGAGCCAATCTATGGAGGGGTCAGGGGAAGATGTTTTTTCCCATTTGTTCACTCTTCCATTTTTCTCCTCCAGGAGAGTTGTGGTAGCTTTCCAAAACTTTGAATATTCTTGGGGTGTTCAGACCAGCATGTTCTCACTGTTATGTCTCCTGAATGCACTTCAGGTTTTGTCTAAGGTTACACAAATACTTAAGAGTGTCATCCAGAGATCTGTCCTGAGGCAGGATAGTTATGAGTGGCAGGGAGAGTGGGAGGATATGGGCAGGAATCCAGAGCAGTGGGCACCTGCAGTGCTTTGGAAATTTACCCCCGAACAACTGAAAAATCCTAAAAAAGTGGTAGAGTGCTTGAAAAAGGTGTGGCATCACCCTGGCAGTACCAGACATACAGAAATCACTCCAACGTGCTGGGGTTTGGCCTATGCTTACCGAGCTGCACCCAATGCCAATATAACCCCAGTGATAGACCTGGTGGCCACTTCAACTTCTGAGACAGGCCCAGTGGCCACTTTAAGTTTAAAATGGGCCCCACGGCTGAGCCAGGGAAACAAACTGTACTAGTATCAGTTGCACCCATAACCAAGGTGAAAAAATGGTATAGAGAGTCAGGTTGTTGAGAATGCAGAGAGTCTTCTGCTAGGTCTAGGTGTAGAGAAGGTGAGGCCGAGCCATCAGAGGAGCAGGAGGATGAAGATGAGGACGTCGCAAGAACAGCAGTATCTAGCCAAAACCTATCCGAGTTTGAGCTATAAGATATATGAAAAGTTTTCAGTCAATGTATAGGTGAGAAGCTTGTCACCTGGCCTCTCTGGTGCTGGGACACTGGAGCCAGTTGTGTGGAATTAGAGAGCGGGGAAGCCAGGCGGCTGGGATCTCTTGCTAGATTCGCAGGCATTGACAAAGCAATTGGAGATGGAGCACGATCTCACAGCCTCTGGAGGCATCTCCTGTCAGCTGTGAGGGAAAGGTATCCCTTCAAGGAAGAACTTGTATGTCTACCAGGCAAGTGGACCACTATGGAGAAGGAAATCTAGTACCTGAGGGAATTAGCCATACTGGAGGTGATTTATGAGGACCCAGACCTCAGACAAACATCCACAGATCCAGATGAAGTCAAGTGTACACGACCCATGTGGCGGAAGTTTGTACAGAGGGAGCTGCTGAGGGAGAAGGTGAATCGAGTCAGTTTGCAGAAGTGAAAGCCATTCAGCTGGCTTTAGATATTGCTGAATGAGGAAAGTGGCCAGTTCTCTATCTCTACACTGATTCATGGATGGTAGCAAATGCCCTGTGGAGGTGATTACAACAATGGAAGCAGAACACCTGGCTGCACAGGGGTAAACCCATCTGGGCTGCTGCATTGTGGCAAGGTATCGCTGCCTGGGTGGAGAACCTGGTTGTAAAGGTACACCACGTAGATGCTCATGTGCCCAAGAATTGGGCTACTGAAGAACATCGGAACAATGGGCAGGTGGGTCAGGCTGCTAAGATTGAAGTGGCTCATGTGGACTTGGACTGGCAACATAAAGGTGAATTATGTATAGCCTGTTGGGCCCATGACACCTCGGGCCATCAGGGCAGAGGTGCAACATACAGATGGTGATCGAGGGGTAGACCTGACCATGGACACTATAGCACAGGTTATTCATGACTGTGAAACATGTGCTGCAATCAAGCAAGCCAAACGGTCAAAGCCTCTTTGGTATGGAGGACGATGGCTGAAATATAAATACGGAGAGGCCTGGCAGATTGATTACATCACACTCCCTCACACCCGCAACGGCAAGCGCCACATACTTACAATGGTGGAAGCCACCACTGGATGGCTGGAAACATATCCTGTGCCCCATGCCACCGCCCGGAACACTATCCTGGGCCTTGAAAAGCAAGTCCTATGGCGACATGGCACCCCAGAAAGAATTGAATCAGAGAATGGGACTCATTTCTGAAACAACCTTATAGACCCTCAGGCCAAAGAGCATGGCATTGAGTGGGCGTATCACATATCCTATCATGCTCCAGCCTGTGGGAAAGTTGAATGATACAATGAGCTGTTAAAGACTACATTGAAAGCAATGGGTGCTGGGACATTCAAAAATTGGGATACGCATTTGGTAAAGGCCACCTGGTTAGTCAACACTAGGGGATCTGCCAACTGAGCTGGACCTGCACAACTAAACCTGTTATGTACTGCAGAAGGGGATAAGGTTCCTGCAGTGCATGTAAGAAACATGCTGGGGAAGACAGTCTGGGCTACTCCTGCCTCAGGAAAAGGCAAAACCATTTGTGGGATTGCTTTTGCTCAGGGACCTAGGTGCATTTGGTGGGCAATGCAAAAGAATTGGGAGGTCCAATGTGCACCTTAAGGGGATTTAATACTGGGATTTAATGGATTTAATAGCCCATGAGTAGAATTATATTATGTTAATTATTATATAATACGGTATGTCATCACTACCATGATTCCTATATGTTAATTTCCTGTTAATGGTATCGCAGTAACAACCATGCAGATACAGATTAATGAATTTTGATAGAATTGGACAAGCAAAGTGACGTGATGGAATGAGAACAGGCTTCAGCGTGTGACAATCCAACGTCACACACCATCTTTTCTGCCCTGAAAGACTGTGATGACAGATGGAGCCTGAAGTCAGTCATGGACTATGCAAACTCAGTGGACATTCTGTATACTATACATGAAAATGATGGTCAACTGGAATGTATTGGAAAGGGTGTAACCTGAGCATGTCATAATTCATATGGAATAAGGGGTGGATATATGTCCTGGTTTTTGCGAGGATAGAATTAATTTTCCTCCTAGTAGCTGGTAGGGTGCTATGTTTTGGATTTAGGCTGAGAAGAGTGCTGATAACACACCGATGTTTTAATTGTTGCAGAGCACTGCTTGCACCAAACCAAGGACATTTCAGCTTCTCACTCTGTCCTGCCAGCGGGCAGGCTGGGGGTGCAGCAAGAGCTGGGAGGGGACAGAGCCAGGACAGCTGACCCAAACCGGCCAAAGTTCTGTACCATATAGGGTCATGCTAAACAACATATAGGGGTGGCTAGCCGCGGGGAGGAGGGCTGGACTGCACAGGGTTAGGCTGGGCATTGGTCAGTGGATGGTGAGCAATTGCATCATGCATCACTTTTATTGTACATATTATTATTATTATTATTATTATTATTATTATTATTATTATTATTATTATTATTATTATTATTATTATATTTTCTGTCCTAATAAACTGTCTCTATCTCAACCCACAGGCTTCAGTTTTCTTGTTTCTCTCCCCCATCCTTGAGAGGGAGGGGGGAGGGTGAGTGAATGGCTGTGTGGTGTTTAGCTGCTGGCCGGGTTAAACCACAGCAGTGGATCAGCTGCTACAGGCCTGTTTATCTGAGCTGAATCACTTTTCAGGCTCTGCTAACTATGACCATTGGATCTCCACTGGATTTAAACCAGCTGTTGGTGATTTCTCTGAAGGTAGAAGCAGAGCTAGTTTTAGAGATAACAGAGCTTATCAGACTGCTGTAGCCCTTTGGAGAAACTGTAAGCTATGTGACACAGTGACAGGTCCATGCACTGCAACCCATGTCAAGCTTTTAATTTTCTTTCAGTTTTCTCCTCACTACCTGCACACCCCTGGTAACTATCAGCAGTTCAAGCACTCTTAGCATTCTTTTTTTCAGTGTTATCCTGAACATGGTATCACCAAGTGACATAGGTACCATTCTTGCATTCATCACTTAAAAATAGGTAACAAAGTCTGACTTTATGCCATTTTAATAGGCAGTTTTAAAATAACTTCTTAAATCCAGACCTCATTTAACTCATACAACTACAGTGATTAATCCTCACATATTCTTGTATGAGGTGCAGTATGTAGAGAAACGAGGTTTTATGTATATCATCTTCTTGTTACCTGGTCTGTTTTCAGGAAAAGACTAATTGATGAAGTTTGCAAAAGAGATAAAGGATAGTAAAAAGGGTTTGTCTAAGTATATAAACAGTAAAAGGAATACTAGGGATAATGTGGATCCCTGGCTGAATGAGGGGGGTGTCCTGGTAACGGGACACACCGAGAAGGCAGAGATACTAAATGCTTTCTTTGCTTCAGTCTTTGCTTCAAGGACTCCCCCCCGGGACTCCTGGACCCTGGAGGGAGGAGAAAGGGCCTGGGAAATGGAGAGCTCCCCCCTGGTTGACAAGGGAGTGGTTTGGGACCATTTGATTGGGATCAATGCAAACAAATCTATGGGCCCTGAAGGAATGCATCCACGTGTGCTAAGGGAGTTAGTGGAGGTGATTGCCAAACCACTCTCCATCATTTTTGAAATGTCCTGAAGAACTGGAGAGGCGCATGAAGTCTGGAGGATAGCCAATGTCACTCCAGTCCTCAAGAAGGGCTTGAAAGAGGATCCGGGAAACTACAGGCCACTCAGTCTCACCTCTGTGCCTGGAAAGGTATTGGAACAGCTTGTTCTGCATGTCATCTCCAAGCAATTTTAAGAGAAGAAGGTTACGAGGAGTAGTCAGCATGGATTCACCAAGGGGAAGTTGTGCTCGACCAACCTCGTTGCCTTCTATGATGGCATCACCAGCTGGGTAGATGGGAGAGCGATGGATGTCATCTACCTTGACTTTAGCAAGGCTTTGATACTGTCTCCCATGACATCCTGATAGCAAAGCTGAGAAAGTGTGGGACAGAGGAGTGGACGGCAAGGTGGGTTGAGAATTGGCTGACTGGCCGAGCTCAGAGGGTGCTGATCAGTGGTGCAGAGTCTGGCTGGAGATCTGCGACTAGCGGTGTTCCCCAGGGGTCAGTGCTGGGTCTGGTCTTGTTCAACATCCTCACTGATGACCTTGACGAGGGAATAGTGTCTGCCCTCAGCAAGTACGCTGATGACACAAAGCTGGGAGGAGTGGCTGACATGCCAGAAGGCCGTGCTGCCATTCAGCGAGACCTGGACTGGCTAGAGAGATGGGCAGGAAGAAACCAAATGAGGTTTAGTAGGAGCAAGTGTTGAGTCCTGCACCTGGGAAGGAACAACCACACGTATCAGTAGAGGCTGGGGGATGACCTGCTGGAGAGGAGCTCTGAGGAGAAGGACTTCGGGGTCCTGGTGGATGACAGGCTGACCATGAGCCGACACTGTGCCCTTGTAGCCAAGAGGGCTGATGGGATCCTGGCATGCATTAAAAGGAGCGTGGCCAGCAGGCCAAGGGAGGTGATCCTCCCCCTCTACTCTGCCCTGGTCAGGCTTCACCTGGAGTACTGTGTCCAGTTCTGGGCTTCCCGGTACAAAAGCCAGGGATCTCCTGGAAAGAGTCCAGCGGAGGGCCACAGAGATGAACAGGGCCTGGAGCATCTTCCCTATGGGGAAAGGCTGAGAGACCTGGGTCTGTTCAGCCTGGAGAAAAGAAGACTGAGAGGGGATCTCATCAATGTGTATAAATACTTGAGGTGTGGGAGACAGAGGGATTTGGCCAACCTCTTTTCATGGGTTTGCAGGGACAAAACAATGGGCAATGGCCACAAAATGGAGCACGGGAAGTTCCGCACCAACATGTGAAGGAACTTCTTTACGGTGAGGGTGACGGAGAACTGGGACAAGCTGCCCAGGGAGGTTGTGAAGTCTCCTTCTCTGAGATATTCAACACCTGTCTGGATGCCTCCCTGGGCAGCCTGCTCTAGGGAACCTGCTTTGGCAGGGGGGTTGGACCTGATGATCTTTCGAGGTCTTTTCCAACCCCTTCAATTCTGTGATTCTGTGATAGTCAGATAAATGCTGCATTGGTTTATGTAGTGCATTTCATACCTGTTAGTTCCTCCCAGCTCATAATGAGTAGAAATTGTTGCATGTCAAAAAGTTATCAGCTGATTCTCCTTAACTGCTACATCTGATCTTAACTACTACTGAGATATATAAACTCCTATGGGCTGCATCCCATTGTGGTGGATCTGTATTCAGATTTTCCGCTGCTGGAAAGGATGCTTACAGTAACTTCCAGACAAGAGGAAGAAGGAGACCAAAGAGGAAGCAGTAAGATGAAGAAAATTATGAAAGGAGGACAGCAAAAAAGGTGGGTGAAGTGTAAAGTAAAGAAGTAAGACTTATTTTTGTGAATCGGCAACAGTCTTTTGGGTGTTACTTTGGGTCTCTGTAAGCGTCAGTGGCCAAGCTGTACTCCCAGTTTCACTGATGAAGTCTTCCTTGGCTGAGAAACCTCCTCACTGCTTTGCCTTGTTTCTGTGCTTATGCATACTCCTGTGTCTGTGCACATGTGCCTGTTTGTGTTTACAGCCCATGGGCCAAACATGCATAATCACTTTTTAGGAATAACAGTAAGGTATGTTAGAAATTATGTTTGTGTAATATTTGTAAAGGACAGAAAAAGTAAAAGAAGATGAAGATGTTCAGCATCAGAAATTTCAATAGATATCCCCATAGTTTAAACCTTTCCCCCTTATTACTCTTTCTTATTCTCTGTGACAAAACTGCTTTTTCTTCTCAACAAGATATGAGGTGGAGGCAGTCCTGTAAAAAGTTTTAATCTCTACCTTTGTGTGTTGTGTTTATAAGTGATGTATATGTTCATGTCGAAAACAGCAACTGATTTTTAAAATTAAAATCATACAAGATTGCTCCACCTTTTGAAAGTGCTCCACTTTCTTTTAGCTAATGCCTATTTCCAATGAAACAAACTTATGGTGTTCATGGCATTGTAAATACCCAAGATTGTTAATATAGAAATAGGGGGAAACATTTTTCACAGTAGGTCTGTTTGATGTTTGACAAGCGGTTGTTGAAGCACGCAGAAATTTCACTGCATGTCTGTCAATGGCAGTAATGAAACCACAAAAGTAAGATTCTTTTTTTTTTTAAATGTTACAAACAGTGCTTTATCATATCAATACTCCAGCTGAGATACCTTCTGCCATTTAAAGAAACAACAAAGGGAAGATGGCTTTTCAGCTGATTTTTTTTTTTTTTAGTATAACTTTGCTGACCTTGTTTCATTCTTTGAACATAGTGCACATCCAAAACATTATGGGCACAGAATATCTGTACTGCAACAGACACTGTGTTCCACATAAATGGACAGCTTCAAACAATAGGTTTTATTGCTGTTTCTTTATTAAATGCAGATTACATGAAGGGATGAAGTATAGAGGTTTCAAATACATGAAAGTTAGGAAATAGTTCTTATATCCCACAGTCAGAAGTCCAACTAAACAGTTGCTGAAAATTAATTTTCTGAAATTTATCAGTCCTCTATACCTATATAATCAGGAGATCTTCTGCCAAATAACTAACAAGTTTTTCAGGTGTCTGCTGTTGTACCTAGCATCTCATTACCTCTTAGGGTTATTTGCAGAAGTCAAGATAGAGAAAAGAGCAGTATATACTCAATGTGCAGTGAGGACACAAATGGCTGGATGAGATTCTTGCTCAGATGTACTCATCCAGGTAGGGCTCAGTTTGCACATGCAACACAAGGACATTGGAAGTCTGAGTCACAGATAGACTCTATGGCAGTGTAAGCTACAAATACTGTTCTAGCAGAGTGTTCTGTGTCCTGGTCCTATTAAAAAGACATCTGTCCTGAAAATAAATGTATGTTATTGCATCTATAAGAACATCAAGCTAGTGAAATTCAGCATGGGAATAGCTGTGTGGGAATATCATTATTACCAGTAAGATGAACCTGTTTTAAAAGTATATTTCAAAACTAGATTTTGCTATGCAAGTACAAAGTAGGAATTTGCTTGATCAAAAGCCGGTCTGTAAGTCTCCCCCTATGGTTTCCTTTATCCACTGAATGTATTGCTTTGTGAGGCGAGTGTAGACACCAGGGGCACCAATAGCACCACACTTATTTTTTTTCCCAAAAGAGGTGATGCCTCTCATCACATTTTTACATATTAAAGGTCCACCTGAATCCCCCTGGAAAAGAGAGGACAAAAATTGTTACTCAGATTTATAAAAGTGAAAAAATCCTTCCCTTACACAAAGCTTACTCCAGCTCCACAGTAGAAATAAAAACATAGACGGTGCTAGTGTTTTCTTTTTCTTGTTTTCTCCTTAGAAAATAACCTTTTCACTTCTCACTAGCAAAAAGAATAAAAAAAGAAAAAAAAACACAAAACAAAACAGAAGATTTCAATGTGATCTTTCAAGTGTGATTTAAATGGAATGAATTTAATTCAGTGTCAAGGTATAGCGGGTCTTAATGAATGTGAAAAGAAAAAATGGACACTTTCCTCTTGAAAGGCACAAAGTGTCTAGAAATTGCTACTTTTTTTTTTTTTTTTAATATTGTAAATTCATAATGTAAATAATTTAAAATGTGATAGCTCTCACAAAATTTTGCATTTGACTTGGCATCCAGTCATATTTTATTTATTTTTTTTTAGCAAAATCTGTTCCAAAACCCTCTGGTGTCAGAGAAGCTGTTCCATTGAATTTAGCTGCTTGAGAAAGGGCTTGTAGAGATTTTTCTATTAAAAAAAAACTTTACTGAAGAACAGAACAGCTATCTGCCTTGCCTAGATTAAAACAACATCCGTGACGATGAACTTTTGATTTTAAACTAGAAGAAAAAGCCCTGGTAAATTCTCTCAATTTTAGGATCATTCCTTCTTGAGCTGAGGATAGGCAGATCCTATGTCTGTAGAAGCTAGTATTTTATATTTTATTTTTAATATAACCTATGTGTATATGGGATTACATATGTAAATATACTTACCCGACATGAGTCCCTTTTGCCTTTCTTAGACCCTGCACATATCATCCCGTCTGTTATAGTAGTCTCGTTCCCATAATATTTTGTGCTGTTGCAAGTTTCTCTGCTGATGATAGTGACTTTGACTTCCCTCAGGGTATCAGAAAAGTCCTCGCATTCATTTGTAACTAGTCCCCATCCTGCTACTCTACAAACAGTTCCTGGCTTCGGATCATCACCTGAGGTAGGCAGGTCAATGGGTTTCACAGCTTTATTAAGTTTTGCTCTTCTATTAAGCTGAGGAAGATATAGCAAATAGTTTTTATGTTCAACAGAGACACATGAAAGTTAGGTCTATCCTATTAATGGCAATTAATGATTACTGCAACCTGTCTTTCAGATACACCAATTGATTGTGAGGGGATTTATGTAATCAGTGAGGTAATATAGGAATAAAGAAAATGAGTATATATTGTCTTATGGAAACCCATTCAACTTCTGCTGAAACATTATATCTGAAAAGACCTTATTTCCTTTCCCTGGCACTCATATCATTGGGAGGTACCTAAGAAGAGGGAATCTGGGCCTGTTTGCCTAGAGCAAAATAACAGCAATAAGTGAAGCTGGCAAAAAAGAGAATCAGAGTTGAGAAATTTTTAATGGAACGTTTTTTTAGTCAGAACGTTACGGTTTTTAGACGATTTATTTTTACATTTGAAGCATGCTGCTTTCTGTGAATGAAATTCACATGCTTCTTTATTATTTCACAGAAAAGCCAGGAATTGCAATATGTAGGCCAAGCTGCGGAATTTTTCTGCTTTGAGTATTGGCATGCATTGCAGGAAATGTTGAGTGCCTTCGTCCCCATTGCATCCCCAGTTCCCCAGTCAGCTGGATTTGCAGAAACAGTTATCAGACACTCCTGTGCTTGATTTCCCTTCCTCACAAGAAGGAGGAAACTGGTGCATCATAGGAGATGCATATTGCTTGAGTGACGTGTAAGTAAGTACATACCTGCACCAGCATAAGGTCGTGATCCCACTTTCCAGGCCTGTACCGTGGATAGCGAATTAGTTTTGCAATCTTAAAAACCTGTTTTTCTTTTTCTCTTCTTGTTCTTGAATGAGCTCCAAGAACAACTTCATCCTTGTTTTTGTCCCTGAGGAGAAAGACAACATGGTTATTTGGATTTACTTGTTGCAAGTCCATAATTCGTTGCTGATAAATGTGGTGCTGTAAATCTCTTTTCTCATGCCTGAAAAGCAGGAGTAATTCAGAAAAATGTAAAAAATTACCCTGTTTTACAAGTAGTTAATGAAAGTGTCTCAGTGAATCACAGCTGATGCTATTCTACCTTCAATTTGGCAGGATTAGAAAGGGTTCAGGTACTTGACTGGGAACCTACCCGTGTTGTTTCCCTTGGGAGCTGGATGCCTGCTGCTGCTGAATGGGGGAAGCCTATCAGAGCAGGCTGGCCCTCAGATGCCTCTTCCTGCAGCAACTCAAACCCTGAAGGCATGGTTGCTCCCATTCCTGCCACTGTTAAGGACTTTCTGACTGTTCACTGAGCATCATTAGGTTGATTATTTCCTGCATTTTTTCTTCAGAGAGATCTCTTTAGGAATCACTATATAGTGGCCATATTTTGATACTACTGATTTTGGGCCCTGTGCTGCCTGGGTAGTAGAGATCTCCCTGTCTGGTGGCAGGAGAAATGGATAGAAGCCTCTGATGTCTGCAGAGCCCAGCGATTCACTGCTCCTGGGCAGGCTGCTGACAGAGCCTGTGTGAGGTCTGGCTCAGCAGCAGCTCCAGTGCTCCCAGCAGAGGCAATGGGTGGGATGTGAGATTTGAACCTCGCATCTCTCCTGGCAGGGAGAATGCGCTGGGCCAAATAGCCGTGTGCGGCGTGAGTCAGACAGGAGGGAGCAACACATCCAGTAAAGCAGAGGTCTCTAAGTGATTCCTGTCATCTGTCTGGAGAATGTTTTGCTCCTTTGTAATTGCATGTTGTCTTTCTGTGCTGCCCAGTGTGTCTTCTGCAGAATAAAATGACAGGAATTTGTTTCTGTTTTCTGAGCAGCTATTTAGACTGGCCAGTCCTCTCGCCAAGTGACTGAGAAAACAGGCATGGGTCTTTCCCCCAGATTTACCACTTCGGTGTTGGTATTCTTTGCTTGCCTGCAGCTAGAAACTCAAAAATACTAAGGACAATCTCCCACTCAGAGCAAAAACTTACACAGGACAGTGGGCAGCTGTTAACACCCAGTTTGGCTTGATCAAAGCTCCTCCACAGATAACTTTTGTTTTCTCTTTTACGATTAGGGCCATAAACGGTCTTGAGTGTGGTTTTACTTCATCTCCTCCAATTATTTCCACACATAAACCTAAAAATAAAAATAAGCCACAATACATACAGCTGGGCTAACAAATACTGACAGGCACTGCAGTCTCCTGGAAAAGAACATTTTATGTAATCACAAAGTACGCAGACACACAGGTATGTATGTGTGTCACAATGCTGGTCTTCAGGCTAGGTTTCTAAGATTGCTCAGCAGTGCTACTGCTGTATGTTTCAGTAGGACCAAAATTAGGTCAGTGCTGTGACAAAAAGAAAACAAACAAAGAAGAACAACCCCAAACCCACCACAACATTATTGATCTTGCACAGATTTATTTTCCTGATGTTCATGGCAATGGTTAAGTTCTTAGCTGTCATTGTAAGAACCCCAAATCTGACACCAGATAAATGTTGTGCATTATCTGTCCTACACAGATTCTTGGGAACTGGGTTGTATATGGTAAGTAACATCACATGAACGTGTTTGTCAGAAAAGCAGAAAACCAAGCAAATCATGTAAGTGCATGCCTGTAGAGAGAAAGATCAAAAACCATCATGTTAATTTGTCTGGTTTTAAGCTCAAAGAGATACAGAGAGTTCTACTATTGTAAGAACCACAATAACAATTGCAAGTACTTTCTTTATGCTAATGCACGTTTGCTTAAGTGGAACTGCATGCGTCAGCATTTGCCTTCAAAAACGTCTAATTTCGTACTTACCTCCAGGAATTACGAGGAGGATGACAGCAGCAGAGGTCGACAAGGTAAAGAAAGCTCCCATGGTTACTAGCTGCTGTTCTCCTCTGTTCACTATGCAATATATAGCAAAACAAAAAGGATGTGGGTTTTGTTTTTCCTCTTAAGGGTATTTGACATTTGTAACTCTGAAGAAAAGAAAACCCTCCCCAACAACATAGCTCACAGTGGAGGTACGAGTGAGAAGTTGCGTCATGTTGTGGTGTGAAGACAAAAAATCTCCTTTCTTTCACGTTCTTTCTGTAGCATTACTGGACAGTTAATATGAGCATCAGAGCGAATCTTTGCAAGCCACTACAAATCAAGTTACACAGTGGAACTTGACTTACCTAAATTTCAGCTTAATTCAGCTGCCTCCATGAAGATATTTAGTTCCAGTCTAGACACCTCTGGGTAGTCTAGAGTGAGGACCTGGAGAATAAAAAATTCATAAGGGTCTGATGGTCTGAGACAGACCATATCAGTCAGCCCCAGCTCACAGGCCTCAGCATCTGCAATTTAAACTTGCAAGGTAATTTCTGAAGTCTGCCTAGTCAATATACTGAAGAAATGCTGCAGAGACATTCAGTGCATCATCTGCTAGAGGCTTGTTTATCTGAGCTGAATCACTTCTCAGGCTCTGCTAACTACAACTATTGGATCTCCACTGGATGAAAGCCAAATAAGTCTTATTGGACTCACAGCTCCTCACTTCCTTCCTTTCCAAATATATACACAGATACAGCAATACCTTCCATCAAAATTTTAATTTAAAATATTAAAAATATTTGGAATTTCTGATAGTTAGCTAAATCCAATGAAGTGTCATTACTACACAGCCTGGAAGGTTTCATGAGGACTTTAGCCCCACTGCAATCAGCCTGAAGAAAGCTTCTGCATATTGGCTGTGTCACATCTTTGAGCTCAGCCTGACGCTTTTTACTCACATAAGATACTGGACAGACAGCTGGCTCAAATTTGCCATTTTCTTTCCTGGGCATAGGCTAGCTGTTGGTGATTTCTCTGAAGACGGTAGAAGCAGAGCTAGTTTTAGAGATAACAGAGCTTATCAGACTGCTGTAGCCCTTTGGAGAAACTGTAAGCTATGTGACACAGTGACAGGTCCATGCACTGCAACCCATGTCAAGCTTTTGATTTTCTTTCAGTTTTCTCCTCACTACCTGTACACCCCTGGTAACTATCAGCAGTTCAAGCACTCTTAGCATTCTTTTTTTCAGTGTTATCCAGAACATGGTATCACCAAGTGACATAGGTACCATTCTTTCATTCATCACTTAAAAATAGGTGATAAAGTCTGACTTTATGTCATTTTAATAGGCAGTTTTAAAATACCTTCTTAAACCCAGACCTGTTTAAACTCATACAACTACAGTGATTAATCCTCACATATTCTTGTATGAGGTGCAGTATGTAGAGAAACGAGGTTTTATATATATCATCTTCTTGTTACCTGGTCTGTTTTCAGGGAAAGACTATTTGGGAAACAGAATAAAACATTAACAAGTATTCCTAGACATTTTTCAGGCTACTCAGATAAATCTATACCTACCATCTAAACACAATTTATTTATGGCCTGTCCATATTCTTTCATTCTCTGAATACACTCTGATTTACCTCTATAGACAATTTTGTTGTAATTTCTTAGGTGTTTGCATACCCATGCCTTAAAAATATCCTATCTAATTCTTAAACACCTCATTTATATTGATGATTAGAACTATGAATATGCTGTCTAGACTACTCTTTGATAATCACTGAATTGTTTGGGTTGGAAGAGCCCTGAAAGACCACCCAGTTCCACCCCTCTGCCATGGGCAGGGACAACCTCCCACCAGACCAGGTTGCCCAAAGCCCCATCCAGCCTGGCCTTGAGCACCTCCAGGGATGGGGCATCCACAGCTGCTCTGGGCAGCCTGTGCCAGGGCCTCACCACCCTCTGAGTGAAGAGTTTCCTCCTTCTATCTCATTTAAATCTCTCCTTCAGTTTAAAGCCATAGCACAGATTGGAGGGGACCTTGAAGATCATCTACTTCCAACCTCCACATACACATTCATTGTGTCCAGAGAAGGGCTATGAAGATGGTGAAGGGCCTTGAGGGGAAGACGTATGAGGAGCAGCTGAGGTCATTTGGCCTGCTGAGCCTCGAAAAGAGGCTGAGGGGACACCTCAGTGTGGCCTACAGCTTCCTCACAGGGGGCAGTGGAGGGGCAGGCGCCGATCTGCTCTCCTCAGTGACCAGCGATAGGACCCGAGGGAATGGAGTCAAGCTGCATCAGGGGAGGGTCAGGCTGGGTATCAGGAAGAGGTTCTTCACTGAGAGGGCTGTCGTGCACTGGAACAGGCTCCCCAGGGACATTATCATGGCACCAAGCCTGTTGGAGTTTAGGAAGTGTTTGGACTGTGCTCTTAGCCCTATGATCTGAATTTTTGGGTAGATCTGTGTGGTGCCACAGGTTGGACTCAATGATTCTTGGTGGGTTCCTTCCAAGTCAGGATATTCTATGATTCTATAATTCCTCACCCTGCTGGGCACAGTGCTTTTGATACAGCCCAGGACGCAGTTGGCCTTCTGGGCTGCAAGCACACACTGCTGGCTCATGTTGAGCTTTTCATCTGCCAGAACCCCCACGTCCTTCTCATCAGGGCTGCTCTCAATCCATTCTTTGGCCAGCCTGTACTTGTATTGTGCTTGGGATTGCACAAATAATAACTGCTAGCTGTGCAAGCTCATTCTGAGTGTTACCTCTATCACATACTCCTGGGACTGACTGCATAGGTATTAAAGATCAGATTGACAAGCACATAATCAGCCTCTAGTTTTGTACCCAAATGCTTTTGTCAGTGTCCTCTTCAGCTTGTAATTCATTTAGATGAGGTTGAAAATTTGATATTTTTTTCCATACGGTAAACAAGTCAACTGGAGTACTTTGGCCATGTCAATAAGTTAATTTATGGTCAAGTTTAGATTATATTCTCAGTCTTTGTGTAAAGGGAGGAAACCTCAGAGCAAATCTTCTTTCTCCATTGAGTGCATAGTCAAGATTTTTTATTAGTTCTTGTGCTGCATAAGCAATTGGACTTCAAGAAGTCTGAAACATGTAAGCAAAATGTTCTGTTCTTTCCCCCTGCTGTGCCCATGAGGCATAGCCACTCTTTCAGTGGAAACTACTGCCTGAACAAAAGAACAAATCTCTCCAGCTGCTATTTCTAGCCTTTGCCTTTGAGGAAGTTTCCCATGGGCATTATGCATGGGTCAATGGGTCACTTTCAGCTCCATTCTGACTGTTGAATACTCCTCTGTCTCCTAGCTCATACACAGTCATTTTGATAATTTTGCTTCCCTGATAACTGTGTTTCGTTTTCATTCATGCTGCTTCCTGTGCCGCTAAAGGCAAAAACCAAATACAACTTTGGTGGACCAATATAGGAGCCCCATTTATACCTAAGCTCTATACCTCTCAGAGCCTCCAGCTGCACACGTTGAGCAGTGCAGAGTGGGCACACCACCAGGAGCATAGCAAGGCATAGCTGGGGAGTCTTATCTGACTCTGAGAGGGGGGCATGGTGTACAAGCTCTTCTTGAAGCACAGATGCAACAACAACCCATCTTATATGTAATGGCCCAGTGGCTAAGCACTTCCCTAATAAATGGGAGATTTTACCTCCTTTTTGCTTCAAACCCAGCTATTCTTATAAATAATAAAGTAATAATAATAATCTCTTCCTTTATTTGTCTGGGATAATTTCTGTATGGAAAGAAAATGAGGAAATCTTAAATTTCTCCAATGCACATTCATGTTTCTGAAGGATGTCAGCATGAGTGTTGCATTAAACAGCTCCATCTTCCCTGGCATGCATTAAAAAGAGCGTGGCCAGCAGGTCAAGGGAGGTGATCCTCCCCCTCTACTCTGCCCTGGTCAGACCTCACCTGGAGTACTGTGTCCAGTTCTGGGCTCCCCAGTACAAAAAAGCCAGGGATCTCCTGGAAAGAGTCCAGCAGAGGACCACAAAGATGATACGGGGCCTGGAGCATCTTCCCTGTGAGGAAAGGCTGAGAGACCTGGGTCTGTTCAGCCTGGAGAAAAGAAGACTGAGAGGGGATCTCATCAATGTGTATAAGTACCTGAGGTGTGGGAGACAGAAGGACTTGGGCAACCTCTTTTCATGGGTTTGCGGGGACAAGACAAGGGGCAATGGCCACAAAATGGAGCACGGGAAGTTCCCCACCAACATGCAAAAGAACTTCATGGTGAGGGTGATGGACAGGCTCCCCCAGGCTGCCCAGGGAGGTTGTGAAGTCTCCTTCTCTGGAGATATTCAAGGCCCATCTGGACAGCTACGTGGGCAGCCTGCTCTAAGGAACCTGCCTTGGCAGGGGGTTGGACCCGATGATCTCTAGATGATCTCTAGAGCTCCCTTCCAACCCCTTCAGTTCTGTGGTTCTGTGATTGTGTGATTCCCAATGAGCACACATCCTGAGCTTGTCACTCATGCCTAGGCAACACTGGCTTTCTTCATTCTGTACCCACACTCTAGCAGACCAGTTCCTGTAACACAAAGCACTTCACAATGTAACCACCATGTATTACTGTCTCCCCCTGCAAGCTGATTAATTTTTGCAAAATTTTCAAAGACGGTAAAGCGTGGGCCACTGCTATTTCACTGCTATGAGTGGTATGATCATGCCTGCCTTGGCACTTGTTCTTGGCAAGGTGGGGTCCTGCATGTGGAGAAAGGAGTTGAACTAAGGGAGTGAGTTGCTAAGAAGTTAGCTGGAAGAGGTTGGGAAAAAATGGTTGTCACTTACATCCCGTGTTTGTTTACCTGAGAACAGCAGGTCCCCAGAACAAATGAGTAAAGACGACCATGTTTATATTAACTTTTATGGGATGATCTTTTGAACTGCCTGAATATTCAATGTGGTCAAGATCTGGGATTAAAGGTTTGTTATGGTGTACTGACTTGCATTTAGAAATTTTCTTGTCTTAGTCTTGTTTAACCATACATTACCTACTGATCTTAATACTCTTTTCTTATCTTGCTCCCCATTTTGATTTCAGTTTTATTCAACTTGACATTATTTCTTGCTCTGA